CACAAACAGCGAATACTTGAAAGCTTTCTCCGTATAAAGTAGGTATTCTAAAATTGTTTCGATAAGATTACTACAGTCGCGATATTAAGTAATTATAACAAGAGTAAAAATGCCTAAAAATCGAAATATTTTGTTTTACAGACAAAGTGTATGGTTGTGAATAAATTTTCTATAGGATAGATGACTTGTGAAACATCATGCAAAATTTCAGATAAATATCTATATTTTAAGAATCAGTTTTTCACTCTTTTTTAGGATACTATGAATTTAGGTCGCTATTAAGTAATTATAACAAATCCATCGAGTTCATGAAAAGTACTTATTTTAATTTATTTATGCACTTTCAGATAGGTATACAATTGTATATGGCAAAATTATTAGTTTTAATATTTTGTTTGCTTACCCCGTGCCTTTTTTGTTGCATTTAGCCTTCTTTCAATAGAGGCATATAATGCTTGAATTTCGAAATTAGAAATTTTGAAGAATTCCTCCCTAAAAATTTCTCACAGCTCTTTTATATTTTTAGGTTGCCTAAGCATAGTTTTCTTCTGTTACCACCACCAAACTTCACAGTTTTGGTAGTGTATTTTGGATCATTTCTAGTACCAACTGGCCTCCTCACATATTCCCTTCGACGAGGATGGAGTTCAACTTTGCTCTCGTCACTAAATATAACTTTTCTCCACATATTTGAGCTCCATTTCAGTTTTTGATTGCAAAACTGCATTTGTTTTTTAATTTGTTTACTATTTAGAGCTGGCTTTTTAGCAGCAATTCTCCCATTTAATTTGTATTTGCAGAGAATTTTTTTTACGCTTGATAAAGAAATCTTTATTGGAACAGCTGAATTTTCTAGAACTTGTCTAGCTGTCCATTTTGGATTCGATCTTGATGATTTTGTTAGCTGTAACTCCATCCTCCTAGTGATTTTGCGTGGTCTACCAGATCTCTTTAAATTTTTTATTGTTCCAAATTTTTTATATTTGTTCTTTATATTCTGCACTGTCGCAGGGCTGCAATTAAATTTTTCTGCTATGCTTCGAATCGTTATCTTCGGCATTCCCAGGTGATTCAGGATACTTTTGCGGATTTCAAGAGATAGGCGACGCATTTTTTAATTATTCCAAAATAAATTGAATGTTCTGAATTCTTTGTAGAACAGGGGAACAATATTTGTAGGCCACTTTTTTTTCAATGATACTACTCATAATTATGAGGTCATAAAGATGATGTTATAATTACTTAATATCGCGACTGTATGTAATTTTCTTTAAAAAACAAAAAAGAAAGAAAAAAATACCATTTTTTTGTATAAGTTAATAATTAATTAGAAATGCTTTCTCCTCTATTTCTTAATAAACAATGAAGAAATAGATTTAAAACGTATTATCTGCTTCATATCAAAGGATGGAAATTCACCTAATATGTTTGTTTTGCCCCTCAAAATTAGGTCTGAGTATGTCTTTTGTATAAAGGGCACCTTGATAATATAGAGTATTCTATATCTGGTCCGAAATTATTCCACTCCACTCTTCAAAACATACGTCATTCCCTAGCTGAGAAATTTTCTGTGACGTCACATATAACAGCTCTATAAAGAGAAAAACACTAAGGGAAACGGGAAAAGATGAAAACAAGAAAAACATAGCACCAAAGAATAAGAAAAAATTGACTTTTTTTTTGCAATATTTTTGTTTCTTTCCTTTTTAATTTATCAGATAAATTGAAACTAGTATGCAAATGAGGTTGTTTTTATTTTCTTTATGCAATCACTGTACAAACACTATGTGTAAAGAGATAATCTGTGAATTTTTACACTTTATACGAAAAACTACTTGGTTAAAACTTTCCATTTCCAAGGAACGATTAGAAAGAATCATAAAAAACACTGGATGGTTTACAACACCATATTAAAGAATTTTTTATGGTGAAAATCTACAAATTCCCTTATCCCTTTCAACTTTTTTTTTTAGTAAAGCTTGTTTTTGTTTTGTTTATATGAATTTTCTTTAAATAATTTTCGTAGATAAACAAAAGGTAATATTTATAGATCTAGATTACGTATATAAACACTATATTATAAGAAAAGATATTATGAAAACAGATGGCTTAAAGTTTGATTTTAATCTTGACTTTTAATAATTTTCTATTGCTTATTCATCTAAAAGAATTCTCTACTAAATCTTTCATTCATTCGTTCTTTCTGTCTTTCTCTCTAATTGCTATGTGTTATGCAGCTAAGAAACGTATGAGAGAGATTTACGTTACGTAATGAATTATAAGCCTTCGTTTAGCAATCTACTTAGGCAACAATCAACTGATACGACTGTTTCACATATTGCATATCGTTACGCTTTCGTTTCTTTTTCACCTTTCCAATGGAAAATTTCATTATTCTTTCTTATTTAGATTATTTTTATTCGGAGACATCTTAAATAAACAATATTATTAATAGGTCAATAACCTGAATAAAACTGTTATACACATTAAGTAAATAGGATATTAATGGATTTTTAATACAACAAGAAAAAAAATAACAGCAAAGATTAGAATGTATTTAATTTATTTCCACTGTATATAAAGATGATTAACAAATACTGGATGTCTAAGATTTTTTCACCGTTCTTAATAAATGTAACGTGTACTTTATGTGCGCAAACTTTACTCATTTCTCTCTTTTCTCTTTCTCTCTCTTTCTATCTTTCTCCAACACTTTGTTTTTAGCAATATAGGAAAATATATAACGAAAAAATTATTCATGAATTTTCTATCCCCTCAATAGATAGAGATTATATAACATATTATATTCCAAATCTGATAGAATTTAGTCCGTACGATAATAAAGCCCTGTTTCATTTTTCTTTTGGAGAGTAAACAACATAGAAATTCTCATAACAAGGGAAATACTTATACGTAAGATAAAGATGTATTTAGCCCTAGAACATGCTAGAGTGAAAAAGGAGCAAACCGCTGAAAACTTGTTTATAACTTTCATTATTATATAAACTAGGTGGAACGGTGAATAAAGTGGGAATACAATATAAATACAGACATTTGTAAATACCGTATGTAGACAATATATTAATTCCTTTTATTTCTTCTACTAAACTAAGATACTAGATAAAGAGAAAAAAATTAACTATATGTAGTGGACGGTATATATGTAAACATAGAGATATTCAACGAGAGAGAGAGAGAGAGAGAGAGAGAGAGAGATGAAGAGAAAATTTCAGGATATTCTTTATATATTGATCATTTAATTCTATTTTCTTTATTCTTTCCAAGAGTTAATTTTCTCATTAAATTGATCTAAATACGTTAATAATTTATAATTGGTTGTATATATTCATGAATAATAATAATATCATTAGTAATACGTATTTCTTTTATTACTTTAGTTTTATTTCTCTCTTCCTTTTTCCCTCTTTTTCCTCCTCTATTCACTATTCATAGAAAGAAAGTTGAAATAAAAAGAGAGAACGTAAAGAAAAGAAAAATCTAAAAAAGTGTTTTCTCTCTCTCTCTCTGCTTGTATTTAAAATAAAAAAAAAGTAGAAAAGGAGTTTTTTCATCTACATTTCCTTTCTTTGTTAAAGGTGTTATATTTTTTTAAACTGAACAATTTACTCCGTCATATCTTTTGTTCGTTTTCTTCTTCTTCTTCTTCTTCTTCTCCTTCTTCTTCTCCTTCTTCAGTTTAATAAAGAACTTTATAAATAATAATTAGATTTCTATCCTAAAAGTTTTTAAGTGAAAGGAAAAAAGAAAAAAAACTGGAGAAAGAAATTTCTTTTTATTAATTCTAATACACAGTTAGTCAACGTTTAATTAAATTAGATGTTATATAATACTAATAAAGCGATATTTATAAAAACTCTTTGCTGAATGGTATAGTTAGCTTATAAATATTTTATTACTTTGTCTTTATACAACCATCATAGAAATATATAATATATAATATTTTAAAGGCTCTTTTAGTATGGAAGAGAAAAAACCTTGAAATTGCCATTAATTTCCTATTGGAATTAAAAGACAATAAATTATAAGCGATCTGCTTAAATGGGTCACACAGTCTGTTAATTTTTGCCAACGATTAACTTTGCTAAGGTTTCCCGTCCAGAGCTTCTGTTAATGGAAAAATGAAAACATCGTCTAGACGAAAGGTTAGAGTCAATGCCCGATTTATTCTTAAACCACAAAACAACTTTTCATTGCCGATATCAATATTTAAATGAACCAAGGTAAAGCTACAGTTAATCTACAAGCCTTTATGTAGAATGAGTGCTATAGATGGCACTTTTATCGAGATAACAATTTTACAACCTTGTTATTTAATAGAATAGGCAAAGCCTAATTAAAACACATGATTAAACACATAGAATGAAATTTGTTCATTCATTTATTCGTTCGTTCAGTCATTCAGTCATTCATTTATAGCAGTAATAGTAAAAGACTATAGTACATTTAGATATGTAGGTTTTATATTATATTGCATATAGTGAGTATATGAATACAAATGGTTAATTAAGTTGAAAGTAAGTTAATTAAAATGAAATTGAAAGTAGTTGAATTAATTAGTGAAATCTGTTTGCACTTTTTTTCCCTTATAGTTTTAAACGGAAATGAAGAAACATTCGAAGCAGATGTTTATCATTAATATTTTGTAAATAATTATATATTACTCAGGAATGAAAAAGATGATTTGTTCATATTCATAGATATATATTTACAGAGAGAGAGAGAGAGAGAGAGAGATATAGCGAGAGAAAGAGTGAAGACAACATGTACAAACAATATATTGTACAAACACTCTCACATTTACATATACATGTCTATTATGTACAATATACATACTGTATATATATATTTATGTTTTCAGGATTATATACAACATAGTAAACTTCAAATTTAGAACGATTCATGAAACAGAGTCTTCTTCCAAGTCTAGAAATCAACTAATTGTTATAATTAATAACAACCAGTATTATCATATATTTAAATTACATCTTTCCATTAAGCCAGTAAGTAGTTACCTCTCCTTTCCCCTTGATGAGAAGATAATGATTATTATATCTGATAAGGGAACTAAATTACATTTAACTACCTTTACGTTGATTTTTCCCCGATATGATAATAAATATTTTGATTCTTCTGTAGCATCAAGAGTGTCCTTGCTCTTTTGGCTTAGTTGTATTTTTAGGGCTTCTCCACTACTCTCCATTCTACTTGCCACGTTTACAGTATCTCCAAAAAGGCAATATCTATATTTACAAAATAAAGAATAATTTAATTACTTTATCTATCAAAGGATAAAGAGTTTATTAATAACCTTGGCATTGTCATTCCTACAACTCCCGCTGCACAAGGTCCTGTATGAATGCCTATTCTTAATTTTAATTGCTCTTCTGGCCTATGGCGGATTTTAAACTCTTTCACTGAATCTAATAAATGCAAAGCTACATCCGCTATTTCTGTTGCGTGACGTTTACCATTCCTCTTTGGCAAACCAGATACAACCATATAAGCGTCACCAATTGTCTCTATCTGTAACGTGTTAAGTAAATATAAAAGTTTAGCATAGAATACGGTAGATGGCGGTTTTATAAGTGATATATTTCATCTTACCTTGTAGACGTCGTATTTTTCTAAAATATCGTCGAATAGCGTGTACAAGTCATTTAACAAATACACAACTTGCATGGGAGTACTTAAAGAGCAAAGTACAGTAAAACCAACAACATCCGAAAAGAATATCGTAACAGATTCATAAAGTTCCGCTTCAACTTCCGCGCCAGTTTTCAATTTTTCGGCAACGGTACTATTTAATACATATGACAAAAAAGAATAAAGAACAAAGCATAAGGAAAGAGCTAGTAAATACTTACGAAGGTAACATTCTATACAAAAGACGGTCAGTTTTCCTTTTCTCTTCCATAAGTTCAGTTGTTCTATTCGATATAATCTCTTCTAGATTATTAGTATAAGTTTCTAATTTATGAATCATAACATCCATTATATTATTAGCCCTTATGAGTATATTTATAATATATGTTTAATAAAGTATGAGTATTGTTTTCTTTTCAAATTCCTACCTTCCCCTGCATATTCTTTTTATATCTTTTTGTAAAGCTGACAACAGGGGTCTTTCGTTCACATTTTCTTTCCAACAGTCTTTAGCCAATCTTAAGAAAGCTCTATCTTGATCATTCAATTCTTCGGAATCATCAGTAACAGGCCTATATGGTTGATGTTCACCATTTTTCACCCTATTTACAACGTCTAAGAGGTTGTCATGTAAAGGAGATAAATGAATAGGTTTAAAATATTAGAAAGTATGATAAGACCTCTTGGATGTACGCCGTCATTGAGAAATGGTAATTTTCTAGTAATAATCTCATAAATAATTAAAGAAAAGCTATAAATATCTGATTTTTGATTTCCTCCAGGAATTAAAAATTTTGAATCGGCAAAAAAGTTTGTTCTTAGAATTTCGGGTGCAAGCCAAATTAAACATTTAAATATTTTGTACACTTCCGCTTCGTTTTTTGATGTATATTCATAATATTTGTAATCGTTCATTCCAAATGAACTAATTTTTAAAATCCATCTACTATCAATTAAACAATGTCCAGTACTTAAATGTCCGTGTACGCCAATCGCCGATGAATGTATATAATTAAGACCATTAGCTAAATCTACTATTAAAGATCTTTTGAATATATTATCAAGTGATATTGAATCATTTTGTAATACATCTTGTAGACTTCCTTTCGAACAGTACAACCAAATAATATGATCAATTTCATTGTTAAAAGAAAAGCCAACGAATTGATTAATATTCTCATGCGACATGTATTTCATCTAAGAATGGTAGTAAAATTAAAATGGAGGCTTATTAGATTAATTTTCACTTTCATTTAAAATGAAATTATATTTTGATTAAACCTCTCGAAGATTAGCCAGAAATTTCTTCTCTTCCATAAACGATCTTCTTAAAATTGCTTCTTTAATAGCTACTGTTCGTCCTTTGTAAATTCCCACTTTTGTAAAAAGTTGCTCACTAGTGATTTTAGTATTTCCAGTATCTCCACTACCAGAAGTTAGACCGGATTTGGTAAATGAGCTTGATGCATTCTAAGAAATATTAATGTATTATACAGTATATAGTATATATATATATATATATATATATATATATTGGAAAAGAGTCTAATTTGTTTTTACCGATAAAACGCGAACTTCTTCTATTTCAATTTTCCAAATGTTCTTATCTATTTCATAATTAATCCGTCTTTTCCTAATTTATAGATTGAATGAATGGTGACGAACAGTAGGCAGAGAAGGGAAATGAAAATAAATTAACATGTAATAGAAAGTCATTCGTCAAAAGTGGCAGAAGAAAGGATAAAAAATTTCTTTTACCTTATATATAAATATACAAGTGAAATAAATACGACAAGACATACCAATAATAATGGTAAAGCAACTGGTAAGATTAAGGAACCTGCAAAGATAAGTGGACGTTAATCTTGTTGAAAAAATTATTAAATATACTATGAAATATAAGAATAGCTAACCAGAAGTATCATCTTTCCTGCATAATTCTCCTTGAAATCCGCATGCAGGCATATCACTAGGAACGTCCCAATTTCTATCATTCACTAAATATACTTTGACAGAATTTTCATGGTTTCCAGTAAACTCAATGTCCATCCAATGAGAGTAAGCTCTATTTTCCTGGTCAAAGTGCCAAACCCAATAATCTGGTAAACGATCAGCATTATTATCCAATTGTATCCTACCGAATCGACCTTGAACAATTTGACTTTTTGAACGATTCATAACATGGGAAACATCTCTAATACTGTAATTGAATGTTGCAGTTTCGTTTAGTATACTACAAACAAGTATAGTAGTCTCGTATGTAAATACACTAAAGGATGATGGTAGCCAATTATTCCTTAAAAACAAATCTTGATAAAATGGCGCATTAGCACTTTCAATTTGAACTTGTTTTATAAAATTATCAACTTTCTCCCCAACCAATGAGCTTACTGTTATTTGAATAAGAGGTCTATACAAGTCCATTTCTTCATCGCTTCTCCATGGTCTAAAAGTAAAGTTTGTAGGAATCTTATGGTAATATAGAAAAACGTATTCCTCAGACTTCATTTCTTTCTCATAAGCAATAGTTAAAATAGTTCTTATTTGTTCTTCGGATGCGCATAGGATTATAACTGTAAATATTCAATAAGCCTATAAATGAAGGAAGATTGAAAAGTTATATGAAAAAAAGAGGAATATACTTCTAGTTCTTGTGGATAATCTTTCCAAATAATTATCAATTTCAACTTTTCCATCGGTTTCACCGATATGAATATTATCGACAAGATTAAGATGCCTTGATTTAAACATTTCAACGAGAGATCTTAGACCTAAACCGCAATAATCATAATCAACTGACATAATTGCCACAGTTTTCCATTTAAAATAGTCCAGAAAACTCATAATTAACGAACCCATTGTACTGTAATTGGGTACACCCGGTCTGACAAGAGTATTATAAATTTTTTTATTTGATAGTTCAGGATCAATTGATGACACGGCATAAAGCATTGTATTTTTATAGCTCGAATAAGTAGCGGCAGACAAAGTGACTAGATGGTTAACATTATAGCTTGTTAATAATATTATATGCATATATATATCTATATATATAATATATATAAACAATAGATATTGTTTTACCCCAAGAACAGGCTGATTCAATTACCACATCAACATTCTCATCGTCTATTAGTTTATAAATACTTGCAGATCCTTCGAATCTATCGCAAACTTTTTTGCTAACTTTCCAAACAATACTATAAAATATTAACAAGTATAAATTTATTCATTATCTATAATTTATTTACTAATTGACAAACAAACAAAATGATAATACCTTAAATTAATATCTCTCAAGAAATCTCTATCTTTACATTCTTGAATAGCGATTGAAACTGCCCCCGATGTAGCTTCGGCCGAAAACCGATTATTTCTATCCTGACTTGATGGAAAACTTAATCCAAGTTTAAAATTATATCGAATGAGAAAGCAAGGATAAGAGAAGGAGAGAAAAAGAAGTAGCCGGTAGGCCAACATATCTAGCAATAATCAATCAGCAGTATGTTTCTCCCTATATATATATATATATATATATATATACACTATATTAGAATATATACTGTATATAACTACTGCTATACATATACCGATTGTAGACGAGTAGAAAAGGGGGCATTTCGTTCTATACGTTGTGATCGTGCCTTATAAATTATTGTTTAAGTAACGATTTTATCCTGAGGTTTAAAATGTTTTCTTTTGTGATACTTTCCTGTCTTACACGAAATTCTATTATTAATTGTTCATTAATAGATTTACTTAATTTTTCTTTTCTTTTACTTTAACAATTTGTTAATTATTCCTTCAAGCTAACTTCTCTCTGTAATTTATATGGACAATCAGGTTGCCTTCGAGTTATGAGCATCGAATAGAAAATCTAGAGTAGTATTTAATAAAAGTAACTCATTATTTCTTCGGTTGTTCATCTATTATGTTAAGATTTGTATTAATTTTTTAGAACAATTACATTATACTAAGTGCTAAATATATATATATATATATTAAACATTCTCGTGCAATGGTTCCTTTCATTTTGGCTGCCGATTAAATAAGCTTTTGTAAGCGTCTTTAAAAGTTTTGTGAAGAAACGTCTTATTGGCCTATAAAAAGAAGAAAAAAGACTTAGATTTTTGTGTTTTTTTTTGTTCCATAAAGACTATTAACCGTATAGGGCTCGAATTCCGTTGATATCATCACTAGATATCTTCTTTTTATAACCATAAATTGGGTACATAACGGCTGATCTCTCTCGTGAGTGAGCTAGACCCAAAGAATGACCAAGTTCGTGGATTGTAACAGAGTATAAGTCTTTGGTTCCGGATGATCCATCAGTTGCCCATGGTTCAGCCATATCGTAGTGAATATCTCCATCTTGAGGAAGAGTAGCATGAGCAAGAACCTTGCCTCTGCCATCGAAATTATAGTTTGAACCGCTGTGCATATAGTCGTGATATTTGGGAGCAAATCTAAAAGCAATTCCGCAAGCAAGTTGAAATTTCCAAAACTTTGTATATCCTTTAGGGAATGCAACTCGTCTGCAATATTGAAAAAACGTATAATTCTCCATAGACATTATCAATAAGAAGTCAATATAAAGAACTAATAGATAACTAACCTAACTTTGAAATTAGCATATTTATTCCAGTCTATTAGACCTTGTTCAAAAATTCCAACTTGTTTGCTAACCGGGATGGTTGGATGTAAATTATCGTAATCAATACAATAAGTTATGTCGTTTTTATTTGGCCATTTAAGAACAGCGCTAAATGCAAGAGATTCTTTAGATTCTGAATTTCCACATCTGTCTTGTCTAATTAAGTCAAGAAATTCACTTGTAATTTCGGTATTTTCCTCCAATCCCAATTCTCTTTTAGCTCTGAAAAAAAAATTATTGACATTGACAAAAACTAGTAAACATTTTCCGTATTCTAACTAAAAATACCCAATCAAGGAATCTTTGTATGAGTCACTCTCCCAGAAACTAGTGAGTTCTTGGGGCTTTTGATAGTCGGAAAATTGTAGTAAATATTCTTCTATTTCAGCCATTATTTCATAGTTTTCGAGACTAGTGTCATATTTATCAACTCTAGGTAAAGCCGTGGCAAATGCAATAAATAAGCAAGAGAGATAAATAGAAATCATTTTAAACTCCTCTATATCTTCCTTCTCGTATTCTGTCCGTTGGAGAAATATATTCAAGAACTGAATAATTCTACAAGATTCAGGTCCCTTTTATAGTTTTTCAATTACTAAAAAAGCGCCCTTAATTAATTGTTTATATCAAATTCAAAGTCTATGTTTAGTAATTCAGCTATAAACAGCTAAATAATTTTTCATAGTTAGCATAAATGGATAATTTTATGCCGTATAAGGATATTAAACCAATTATAATTTATATTATTTCATATTTTGACAAATACACATCAATACATAACTATTTTTAATAATTTTCTATATTCATTGTCTATATTTCGTATAAATTGAAAAGAAAAAAACTTAAAACTGTCCAAACATTAAAGTTTTTCTCTCTTTATTTATTTATTGTTATTTTTTTTTTATAAAAAAAAAATAACAAACAAAAGGAAACTTAAAAAGGCAAAATATAAAAAGTAGTAATTGCACTAACAAAGATCTAATCTTGTTTTTTTTTCTTTTTTGCATCATATATATATATATAGCATTATGCTACTTTTTTAATGATTATCTAGTAAATAACCTTAATAGTTTTCTTGATTATATCAACAGTTTAGTTCATTCATAATTGTTATTTATTTATATTATTATTTAGTCAATGTTTAGCTTATATAACAAACATTAGTTTTCTTTTCAAAAACTGTATTCTAATATAAATTAATGGAGGTATTCTCTCATGTTTTTAAATATTTTTTAACACTTTGATAAAGCTTATCAAATTTTCAAAATAGACTACAAATGCAGTATATCTTTAATGTGTGAATGCTCTGATTTCTCTTATACAAATTTGTGTTATTTCCTAAGACGAAGTAAATATAAACAATATAGACATATATCACAGAGGATTTTTTCTGGCTTTCCTCATCGCTTCCTTTTATAATAAGCAATTAATTAATTCAGGTAATCAAGAGGATTATTGAAGCGAATTTTTACAAGTTAAAAATATCGTGATAATTATCCCTTTGAGGAGAGTTTTCTTCTTTTTCTTAGATTTTATTATACTGTCTATACCCGAACAAACTGTTCATATGTAGTTTGATAGAGAATGATAGTTTTAAAATATAGTATTAATACTATATAAGATAAAGAAATCATTAAGTTTCCATAATCTCTTTTTATTTTTAATCATTTTTCTCAATAATTGACATAATCAAATATATATATATATATCTATATAGACACATATAGATATATACATTAGTGCAAGAATTAAATTAACATTTAATACAATAACATGTACTTTATTATAATACTTTTGCAATGCTTTATAGAATATTCTAAGGTGAAGTGTTAGTCGTTTCCATCATATTGAAGATCTAGGTAGTGAGACTTTTTCGGATTTATGATTTGGCACCTGTGTTATATAAAAAAAACAAAGAGGAAAGAATAGTTTATGTACTTTATTTACTTTATTTTATCTTTATATATTTACCATATAAAGCCTGAATCCTTTGTACATCATCAGATGGTAATCCATTTTTAGCGTTTGATGGTCTGTAAGTTGGGTACATGACGGCGGTTGGATCAGCTGAGTGTGTTAGGCCTAGGGAATGACCAACTTCATGAAGAGCAACGTAGTAAAGACTCTTTTTATTTTTGGTTTCGTCCCAGTCCCAGTCTTCATCTTTATCGAAATGTACGTCTCCGAGACCAGGGAAGAAAGCATGAGCAAGGACACCTCCAGGGCCATCAAATCCCTTAGAAGGTCCTGGATGCATCCAACTGTGATCTCCACTAGCAAATCTAAATGCAAGACCGCAAGATTGTTGAAGTTCCCAGAAAGTAGATTCAACCCAATCAGGGTTAACTTGTCTATGGAAATAATTAAAGTTTTTTAATTAAATCTTTATTCTCTACGCATAAAACAAACCTAAATTCAATATTTGCATTAAAACTCCAGTCGTTAAGAGCTACTTGTATAGCTTCAGTTTCTAGGTAGATGTACATAGTTTCATCATTTTCAGTAGCATTTTTATAATTAAAACAATAAGTAATATCTAAAGGATTCTGCCATTTGAATTGAGTTTGCTCTTGGACACCAGACTCAATATTTCCGCATCTATCTTCTTTCATTATTTTTAAGAGTTCATCGGTTATGGTATCGCTTTGTTCTAATCCCAATTCCTTCTTTAGGCTTAGTAAATTTATGAAAATATTGAAAATTAACTGAAAGAAAAATTAAATATTCCTTCTTTCTTTTATACAACCTTTTAATAGCTTGGCTGAATTCTAGACTCTTGCAACTAGATCCAATATCATTCTGTTTCTTGTAAACAGTAAATTTCTCCAAGTACTGTTCAACTTTTACCAAAGTTTCATCGTCATTCAAGCAAAGATTGCTTGAATCAGACAATACTTGTTGAAGTATAATGAGAGTTAGATAGAGAGTAAACATTTTTAGTTTTCTACTGCAGATTTCTATCTTCCACGATGATAAAATATGAAATATTCTCGCTCCTTATATACTGTTCAAGTGTTTATTATTGATAGCAGATTTATATATTTGACTAGTTAAAAAACTAAAAATATTGAATGAATTGTGAAAAATAAGACAACTGTTAAAATTATTGAATATTCTATATATTGAACTTATATCTAGTGATAAACAATCAATAATAATTGTCCCTAATTTACCCTTAAAACAGTATTATTGACTTGTCTCTCCGTATGACTCAGATAGTGAAAATTGTATATTTTATAGTGTATAGCCTTTTAATAGGGCTTAAATATAAAGATAAAACTGTACATAGTTATTATACAAATATTCTTTTACGAATAGTTTATTTATCTACTTTTTGAGAGAATTTAGGAAAAAGGAAGAAACATTAATACATTTTTATGTTTGTTTGTTTGTTTCCTATATTAAATAGTGCATTAAAGTTATTCATAATAATTAGAATGTATATTTATATATAGAAATATTTTTTAATATGTATATAATATTCCTTTTCTTTCTTCTTTTCATCCTATATTTTTAAGCTTTTTATTTTATATCTCTCTAAAAATTTCGTTCTTCTTAACTCTTTGTACACCACGCGTTCTTAAAGCCTTTCCGGCATAGGCATACGCAAACAGCTCTTCCCCGTCTTTGCGTTATTTTCGGTCCGATACCACCATTCTGACAAGGTGCTCTGGTAGAAAATCACATTATTGAAATGCCATCTATTGGCTAAAATAATTATCTTTTATACTTACTTCTTATTACAATAGAAGGGAACGGGGGTTAATGATCTTTTGTCCATATCGTCAAACAAGTCTTGCATCATAATCCCCGGTACATTTCTCTTACCATTTTGGTAGTCGTCCATCATCATTAAACCAGGTACCGCATAACCTAACGAAAAGAGATAGTTCATTATTATCTTCTCATGGATATTCATTTATCTTGTTATTGCTAGTAAAAAAGTGAAAAGGAGTATTTAGCATCTGAGAAATATAAATGATGAATTACAGTACATTGAAATATATTATTTTTATTATTGAAATAACTTCGAGACAAGACAAAACAAGTCACATGAAAAAGAAAATTGATTATATAAAAGAGAAATATTAACTAACAGAAGAATGAAGTTGTATCTCTACTACAAGTTTTATTACATCAATTTGTTTTTGACTTTTTTCCGAATCATCTTTGACGTCAAACTAATAGAGTTTGTAATTTCCTAGTATAAAAGTTATATATGAATGTAGAAAAGTAACAGAAAATGCTCAAGCAAACATGATAGTACGATTGAAGGAATAGAAAGAAATATAGCTCTCTATGTAAAATGAATGAAACGCAAATGGCATTTCATTAGTGTATTTTCATATTTTATAAATATATTATTTATTTTAGTAATATAGTCCTTTTTTCCATATTTCTATGGTCTACTGCTACTGCTAATTGCCTAATTTGTTTACAATTAATTTAACAGTTGTTTTCGTTCAAGAAAATAGTCAATTTTTTTCCTTTGATACTTTTATTTTCCTTATCTTATTTTCCTACCTTCATCTTTTAATATATGTATTACTTGTTTTAGTTTCACAAAACATATATATATATATATACAGCCGCGGTCATAAATATCTATACATGAAAAAAAAAATTTTTTTTTTCTATAAAATAATTTTTTTTTGGATTTCTTCAACAAAATTGTTTGTTCTTTTTTTAAATATTTGTTGAAGAATATGTTATAAACCAGAAAATGGATTTAGTTTACTGAAAAAAATATTCTTATATAAAAAAAAGAATGTTTTTTAATTCTATGTTTATTTATCATTAAAAATAGTCCCAAAAAAAATGGCCAAAAATATTTATATAAATTTAATTACATAGTTTGTCAAGGTTTTTTTTCTAAATTTTTGCGTTTTGTCTCAGTCTAAAAACTACTTTTTAATTCTGTTTCCTTTATTGATAATAACTTGCCAAACTCTCTCCCCGATTCCTCTATATAAATTTTTCACAAAATCTCTATTGCTTGTATTGATTTTGTCCACCTCTTCCTGTATCCTGTCCCATAAATGGTCAAGGATTTTTGGTGTTTGAATTTCATACACTTTAATTTTTAAATAACCCCACAAATTCTCTATGGGGTTGAGGTCTGGAGAGTATGGAGGCCAATCAAGGACTTGAATTCCATTCTCCTCCAGGATATCCATTGTTACTCTGGCAGTGTGTGGGGGTGCATTATCCTGCTGAAAGGTGAAGTTTTCTCCAAATTTTTCCCTCAAAATTGGGAAAACTGTTCCCTGAAGAAATTCGGCATAAATCTCTCCAGAGATGTTGGAGGGAAGTCTTTGGATAAAAACTTCACCATCTGAGGATATACACCCCCACACCATCACTCCTCCTCCACCAACTGGAAGCTTATCTCTAAAGAGCCTTGGCCTGTCATTGAGCTGCCAGGTTAACAGATGATCGGACCATCCAGCGAAAACCTGGGCTCATCTGTGAAGACCACATTTTTATATTCAACTTGGCTCTGAATCCATCCACCCAGTATATTTAATCGTGTGGTTTTTGCTCTTGCTGACAAAGGGCATACCTTCAAAATGGGCAGATACTTTGCTCCATTTTTATTTAGAATCCTTCTAATGGTTCTTTCAGAAAGATCCAGGCTTAAGTTATCCTTAATTTTTTTAGCAGTTGCCAACTCTCTTTTTTCCTGTAATCTTATGCATTCTCTTTTAATTAGTGACTTCAGTCTTTCACTGGCTTTGGATGGTCTTCCCCTTTTGTCAGGTTTTCCTGCTCTTTTGTTCTCACAGATATACTGGAGTGAAGGTTTTGGGATATTTAAGTCCGCCTCAAGTTCTTTATAGGTCATTTCAGCTTTTTTCGCCCTTGCTAGCTCTCTAATTTGAGAATGATATTTCATTTTGACAAAGAAATGTAAGTAATTATCTGCGGAGTCAGATTTGTTCTAAATTCAAATGTTCTAAAAACTATTTAGACAAAAAACATGTTTTTATAGATATTTATGGCCATTTTTAAATTATATAATTTAATTGCAAAAAGCACTTGTTGTCTAAAATTAAAAAAAAAAGTACTTTTAAAAGCTGAAAAAAACAAATGTTGTATGAAATTACATAAAATACCCTTTAAACAACATCATTCTATTTAAGAAAAATAATTTTATTTCTCAAAATTAGAGAAAAATGAGTTTTTAAAAAAAATATTTTCTTTTTTTTCATGTATAAACATTTTTGACCGCGGCTGTATATATATATGTTATGTTATATACCTCTCTTAAATTCGTTATCATCTTCTATAATTCTTCCAAAAGTTGTGACTGTCGCCAGGCAGAGAATAAATACTATGAACGACATGTTCCTTCTCCTAGATATCGCCGAATTGCCGTTGTATGGGGAAATCTCTCGTATTTATATTATTCCTTGTCTAATTAACATAATGCGCATTTATAATATGTACGAATACAATCATCCTAAAAATGGTAGTCTACCTAGAGAAATCAACAAATGAGTTAATTTTTCAATTAAAAATATTCTCATTTGTTAAACAACACTATAAAATTGTTCATTTACAAAAAGTAACAAACGAAATGGATTACAACTATTTACCCTTTTCTAACTTAAGCATGTGAAATATAAAGTTAATGAATTAGACTAAAAGATCAAACAAGGATGTTTGCCTTTTGTAGTCTCCTTCATTTCTTATAGTCTTGTTAATTTTTTTCAACGTTTCACTAATTCATACTTAGTCAGCTATTATTTTCATGATTTTAAACAGGAATATTCTCTAGCTTTTTTACTATTCCAGGAATAAGTTGATAATCTTATAGAGACAACTCGTGATTTGTATTAGTCAGAATTTTTTTAAATTTGGCCCAGTTTAAGAAAAAGAAACAAAAATTCTTATTATTAACAGTTAATATATTCAAAGATATAGATACTAATATAATTCTTTAATATACTTTAATAATAGTTTTGTAATTGTTAGTTTATTTATTGGATATTATTAACTTTTTAAACAGTTTATTTTGTATTTGATACACGAAATGGACATAACAATCCTTCCATTCTTCAAACTGTTCAGTATAGCAAGGGTAGACATATTTTTATTATAAATATATACAGTATATATGTCTGCAAAACGGACTTTTATGTGAAGAATTCCCAAAAGAAAAACATAATTTCTTTCTGCGAAACTCTTTCAGTTGTCATTACGCAATAATTAAGTTTATATCCTGCCCTTTTCCGACCTAGGCAATTTTTTATCTAGACGATAAAAAAAAGGCAAGGTGACGCTACCGGAAGTAGGTTGAATAAAATAAATTTGCTTATGTCTTTTTTAGTAACACTGTCAAATAGAGTTAAATAAATAATTTCATATTCAATAATATATTTCCTTTTTTACTTACACTTACGTTATAAAAAAACATTGATAGAAATAAAGATGATTCGGATTATCCTTTAAATAGCAATTGTATCAATAGGAAGAAAGAGAGAAGAGTATGTAGCTAGCCATAACAAAAAGAAAATCAACACCTATATACATAGTTTTGCCGATAAATCGTGAACGGAAACTTTTTTCATAACTATTGACTATGTATCAAATTAATTTATTTTTAACTATTTCTCTAAAATAATATTCTATCTGTAGTAATCCTAATAAATTTCCAATCTATATTTAGAAAACTTTCCAATGTATCAAACCTTGACCGTAAAGAGAGAGAGAGAGAGAGATTAGCTGTCAATTAAAGATATTGATACTAAATAAATTAACAAATATTGCCCATAATCATTCTGTAAGAATGCTATTTCTTTTCTTCGCATATTTTACAAAGCAATGTATATAAATATCGAAATACTATTATAGATATAATTTATATCCTCTACATACAGTATACATACACAGTATATAGATATAATAGAATGTCCCAATATTACAACAGTTTGTAACTGTATTTTTTTGCATCTATCCTAACGATTTTACAATAATTATAATAATTAGACAGTACATAAGTATAATTAGTATCGCAACAATTGAACCCATAAGCCAACGATGGCGTTCACAAAGAGATCGACAAAACTGGCAGTAGTGGGAGGAAGTTACAGTCCTCTTTGTCTGTCAATGATGAATAAAGAGCATTAAATAATTAGCTCAGATAATGTATATAAATGTAATGTTTTATTATGTAAATTTTTTCGTACCCTATGATATGCTCTTTGCATTTTTGACTTATTTAGGAGGAGGTCTTGATCACTGTCCGCTTTATATAATTTGGCTGCCGGACTGACGTCAATATCCTTCCATTTCCCTAATAAGATAAAGTGTAATTAGTTTTTGGCCAAGCCAACGTAATAATGATTACTATAGAGATATATATATTATAAATATTTTATATATACATATAATAACTAATAGATGCTTTTGTAATACATGGATCTTTAAACTTTCGTTGAAAACAAAATTAATTACTTTGCGGTTTATCTGATATGCCAACGCCATTTTCTTTTTCAAACCATACCACTTCTTGACCATCATCTGAGTCGGCTCTTTGAAATTTTACATCGTAATCTCCTTCTTGTTCATAGCCCAATCTTCTATTATCGATTTCTTCAATAATATCCGTTTTCCTTAAACCGTCTAAAGCTTTCAGACGACTAGATTGTTCATAATTTTCAGGTTCTCTTCCTTCAGCCATTACAATACTTTATTTTTAACCTACGGATTTATTTCTCTTATAGATTATTTAAAGATAATCTTAAAATATGACTGATAAATCTTAGGTATTTTATACGCAAAGCATTAAAAATAAACTCTAACTTTACCTGGCTAAATCAATCCGTCAATTAACTAATCAATTAATATTTTTACGTCTTTTTCAAGACGAATTTGACAGATTCTATAACGTATACTAATAAAAATTCGCAGTTCAACACACAAAACTCTAAACAACTTTAAACTTTGAACCAATGACTCAGATTATTTATTCTCGTTACGTAACAGTACGAAAAAAGGTATTAAAGATATAATTCAATCAATATAAGGACTACTAGAAAGAATAGTGATAACACAACTAACAATTAGTGTGATGTAATATTAATTAGACGTAAAAAAAAGGAAACACTCGCCTAAATTTGATAAATAAGTGAATTAAAGTGAATTAATATCACATTGATAAAGTTATCCTATTATTGATTCTGCTAAATACAGGATAAACAGTTAGGATACAATATATTTGTAACCTATCTTATTATTGGATATTGCAAACAAAAGCAGATATATTTACTCTTTAATTGTTTATACGAAATGTAAGATAAAAGCGAAAAAAATTCATGACACTTTGCCTTTAAGATAGTCATTGACAGTGAGCTTAGATACTTACTACTGAAACACACTTTTCATCTTTCCAAAAACATATTAAATTATCAACAAATGTATAAGATTTTTTATATCTTTATTCTATAAAGAAGATAAAACAATAAAGTTTTGATTTTTTTTTATTAGTTAATCGTAAAGATTATTTATCTGTTGAACATTTAAACAATTTTTTAAAACGTTTAACACTTTCTCCTGTATGAAGTCAACTTGGTTTTTTGGCGTATACTCATCATCGCACGATCTGTAGAATCATTATTGGATGTTTATAAGTTATATATATATATGTATATTTTATTATATACATTTATATATACATATATAAATATAGCATATATATAATTACCTAGCTACAGTTATTAAAGACTGATTTTCTTTACGAAACGTTTTACGAATAATGAACTCAAAATGTTTTTCCATTTCTTCAATTTCGCTTTCTGAACTTAAATGTTCGGGTAAGGGATTATTATCGTCACAAGCCATTGCAGTATGATGAACCCATTCCAATCCATTCTTATTAATAAGATAAGTTAATTTATTTTTCCTGTTAAGAATCAAAATTGAATAAATATCATAACATTTTTACATAAATTAGGTTATAATTTATAAAAAAAGACTCGTACATATCATCGTTTAGATGAGCATCTTTAAAATTAGTTGTATGATTTTTCAACATCCAATTCCATAAAATGTTTAATTGCTCTCTTCTTTGTTGAACCTTTTCCAAAGGTTGCTAAAAAATTCAATAAACAAGTAAGATATAATTAGATTTATGAGTGCAGTGCAGTTTACTAGTTCTAAATACTTAAAGTAATGTACCAGAGACTGTGGAAATTCGCATCTATATTTCTCACTTAGGAAACTAAATAGCTCCAGACCAAAGAGATTTTTCAAAGGGTTTAATGTACTGAAAAAATCAAGGTCAATATCGAGTAACAAGTGTTCTTGATTCTCTTTTCTTATACATTCAGTAATATCTTTTAGATTGTCTGAATTGACTGTAAATTCTTCAATATCAACGGATCTCCTATTAACTAATTCATCTTTTGGTGAGTAGAACAATTCCTGAATAAAGTATTCACTTTCGCAAGAAACCCTTTGGAAAAAAAAAGATATTCAGCGTTACTACTCCTATATTATCAATTATTCGATATTGAAGAAGAGATAGGTCATATTCTTTCACTGGCCTTTGCTGAGCTACTCACAGTTATAAATACAAATTCGATTAAACTAATTACGAACCTGATATCTCCGGTATCTCTATGTTTTCCAACTTGAAATGAACAGAATCCTCCAAAAAGATCTTCGACCCAAGGTGGTTTTAGCCATATTACTTTTTTAATATGACCAGCATATGTAGCTGGAATTATCCAGCTTGCAATATCTGTGTTTCTATAATTCAAGTCGTTACTATTGTTAAAAGACTCCTCCTATCTACATATTTTGACTGCATTTATATAACAAAATTCATTATCTGCTTACGGTTTGAGAATAATACAAATTTTTGACAGTAATAATACTCAACTGGAATACAATATCTTTATTATAAATATCATTTGCCTTTATAGCGGGAATCAACAAGTCAGGATGAGCATCAAAATGAACTAAAACCAGACCTTCGAAAGGAATTCTTTTTGATCCTATTTCTTTGTAAATAACTTCCAACGCCTTTAATAAACATTTATTAGTTTAGATTTAACATTTTCAAGATTTATTTGTCAGCTGTCAAATTTATTTTGGTTTCTGTTCTAAAGGCAAATACAAACTCTATCATGATCATCCACAATATGAATTGACGACATATCAAACTATTCAGAATGACTCTTTCAATGAATTTGTTAAAATCAATATAATTCTCCTCATATGATGTTTAATTTTTTAAAAAATCATCTAATTATGTTATATATTTTGTAATATATGAGAAATGATTGTATCAATTCTCTCCGACTACTTTATTATCGCTCTATTTTAAAAAACTTTGGTTTTTCAGTTAAAATTTCAAGTAAATTAGGCTTATTGCAGTTTCTTCATTAATTTAATTATATTTTCTTAAATTCTGTTAATAGATATTTCATTCTGTTAAGGAAGTCAGTATTCGAAAATTCTAAAAATTAAATCCTAACCCGCGAAAATATAACCGGAAGTAGTTATTTCTCGTAGACTCTCGTTGACGTGATCCGGTCGTCCTTTTTCCACGTGACATCGTTCGTTATGGTAAGCTCTTGAAAAATCTGAAAAAATCTCTGTAATAATGCGAATTTTACAGGAATTTTTTCTATTTTACTACTAATAGATATATTAACTATATGAATGTAGTATAATCAATTAAAAATTTCAGTCGCATCGTAAGTTTTCTGCACCAAGACACGGCTCTTTGGGATTCTTACCAAGAAAACGCTCTAAGCGTTCTCGTGGTAAGGTTAAGGCCTTCCCAAAGGATAACCAAAAGGATCCGGTTCACCCAACCGCCTTTATTGGTTACAAAGCCGGTATGACCCACGTTGTCAGAGAAGTCGACAGACCGGGCTCTAAGATGAATAAGAAGGAAGTCGTTGAAGCCGTTACTATTTTGGAGACACCACCCATGATTGTTGTTGGTATTGTTGGTTACATTGATACCCCTAAGGGTCTTAGAGCCTTTAAAACCGTTTTTGCTGAGCATTTGAGCGACGAATGCAAGAGAAGATTCTACAAGAACTGGTAAGTTGTTACATAAAGTTTCAGGCTATATTTTTGTGAAGAGTAAGGGGATCTCAAATAAGTTAACACATAATTGAAGCTGAAGTCTTAGTATATTTTTGAGCACCAGTTTGAATTGGGTAACAGAATCCATTCAAACTTGTTCAAAGAGTAAGGATTTTTCCCACTTCACCACGTGGCGAATAAGTAAAACAACGTGCTAACGCTTTCAGTGGAAGCTTTAAATTGAGACCCCGCTCTCATCAAGAGATGGGTCCGGGAGAGACCTACTCCTCTCACAAAATATATGTGATGAGTAGCTAAAATTAAACTCTCCCCGTTTTTCGAAAAAAGGTACCGATCCAAGAAGAAGGCTTTCCTTAAAGCCTCCAAGAAATGGAAAGATGAAGAAGGCAAGAAGGAGATCCAGCGTGATTTTGATAAGATGAAGAGATACTGTCGCGTAATCCGTATCATCTGTCACACCCAAATGAAGCTTCTTAAGAAGAGACAAAAGAAAGCTCATATTATGGAAATCCAATTAAATGGAGGAACCACCGCCCAAAAAGTTGACTGGGCCAAGGAAAAACTGGAAAGCTCAATCCCAATTGATTCTATCTTCAGTCCTGATGAAATGATTGACGTTATTGGAGTGACTAAAGGAAAAGGATTCAAGGGTAAGCATATAATCTTTCATATTGAAATTGTAAATGAACTATGTAATATTTTTATGATGAACATTATCACTGAGTTATCATTGAAGATAATCAAATGTTGCCTTCCTTCTGAAAACTAAAAAAAAAATTGAGAACATTTTAGTAAACATTTATTCTCTTTGCTAATTAATAATATTTATTAAAGGTGTTACTTCGAGATGGCACACCAAGAAACTCCCAAGAAAGACACACAAAGGTCTTCGTAAAGTTGCTTGTATTGGTGCATGGCATCCAGCAAGAGTTGCCTTCTCTGTGGCTAGAGCTGGTCAAAAAGGATACCATCATAGAACCGAGATGAACAAGAAGATCTACAGACTTGGAAAGGTACTATCACTATTTTTTTATTGGACAGCAAATACGATATAAATTTTCCAGGGTGTCCACACTGACAACGGAAAAGTTGTCCGTAACAATGCTTCGACTGAATACGATATCACCGAGAAGACCATCACACCCATGGGTGGCTTCCCTCATTATGGTGAAGTCAATCAAGATTTCATTATGCTTAAGGGGTGCTGTATGGGCCCCAAAAAGAGGGTAATCACTTTGAGAAAATCTTTGGTACCTCAAGTGAGCCGAAAGGCCAAGGAAAGAATCAATTTGAAATTTATCGATACCAGCAGTAAATTCGGACACGGTAGATTCCAGACCGGTGAGGAAAAGAAGAACTTCTTGGGTGTCTTGAAAAAAGACAGATTGGCTGAAGAAGAAAAGATGCAAACCGCCTAAGGTTAAAAGTTATGTGGAAGTTTTTGCTTTCTTGAATACAACGGCAAATTGACAAAATAATTTTATTAATTTCAATGATTATTTAAAAAACTGGCGACTATGTAAAACAATTTCGAGATGTCCAAAAATCACTTTCGCTTTCAACCCATGCATCTTTATATTTCTATTGAAGCCCACAAACCATATTAAGGGGTAGGGCTCTTTCAATTTCTCTCGGATATGGTAGCTTTAATTCTTCCATAAACTTAACGAAATCTTTAATTGGCTGCCGTAAGCGTGGATTGTTTATTAATTCTTCTTCCACTGTCGTTACACTTTGGCCTTAAATGAAAACACTAAGTGTGAAACGAAAAGAGTTAAATATTTAAGTGTTACCTGTGTAATCGTGACCAGGATATAGCAACCAATTTTTAGGCAAGGACAAAATCTGGGAATGGACCGAGTTGTACAATGTTTCTGAATTTCCCTCTTGGAAATCAGTACGACCACATCCTCTTATGAGGAGAGCATCACCTGTAAAAGCCATTTCGCCGTCATGCCATACAAAAGTCATGCAACCATTCGTATGTCCAGGAGTATTTCTAGCTTCTAGGGCGGTGCTTCCAAAAGGTAGAGAGTTGAGATTTTCTAAGTGTATATCAGCTTTCGCATTGGAAGCTTTCGATATCACACTTTGACAGTTTCGAAAGCGTTTTTTCAACTCACCACTACCAGTTACGTGATCTATCAAAATTATAAATATTTAAAGATTGCAAATTGAAGGTCATAGAAGGACATTGCCTAAAAACCATAAAAAGGATGAAGGCTACAAGACTTTAGAATACAGCCATGTGTAATCTACATTTAAAGTTAAGTGATATAAAAAGAATAATTAGGAAAGAGCAATGGAGTATAAAATTGAACAAAAGAGTGAAGAGAAGCAGACAAAATTTTGTCAAAGAATGAAAATATATAATTATTTTAACTTACCAGCGTGAACGTGCGTATTAACTATTATGAGAAGAAAATAAAAAGAACTCATTAGTGTTGATCTTGCTTATTATATTTAGCATATCAGCTTATTCATCTAATCACTACTATATATAAATACATGTCAGATTTATATATAGTTATAGTATTCATCCATATATACATATATACAGTCTAAATAATATTGTATAATACTGAATAATTGCTGAATGCTTCAATTCAAACGTTAGATATTTTACTTGCGTAGATAAGATTTAAGCCTAGCTGCTTCAAAATGCTTTCGTCTCTGTCAGTCTGTTCCAGTACGGGATCAATTAAAACAGCGTCCTTTGAGGTCTTATCAGCAATAAGATAGGTATACGTAAACGTTCTTATGTCGAATAACTATATTATGCATTGGAGATCAAAAGAAACATATACTATCAGTATAACGTGTAATTAGCTATTCAATATTACTTGCCTGGCGAAAGATGTGATCACCTTGAGAGGCTGCCCCATAGAAACGCTTATTTTTATAATTTAATGATTTAGAAATATTGCGCATAGCACGCATTAAATGAGCACTAGATTTCATCATTTCGATGTCTGGAGGAACGAGGTATGAATTTCAATCTTAAATATCTAACCGACAATGTGACTCTGTTCTATCGATTACGTGCCACTAGCATTTGTTTACGTGCGCACTTTAGTGTTGTGCGCATGCGTCAAGCTAGCTTCCTTGCGCGATACTTAAAAATAGCGATTATAAATCACATTACCCGACTATCTGTTTAATATCAATAAAATAAGAAAATAAGTTTAAGTAGCTTCTTTAATTATCTATTGAATATTCCAAAAAGCAGCTTTTTCTTTTTATCTCGAAATATTATATCAATAAAATACTATAAAACGTTCTAGAAGGTACGCAATCATGCTTTTTAATGATAACTTTAAAAAAATTTAAATATTTAAATAAATTTATTAATCTATAGCAAAAAAAAAAGATCCGATAATATTTCAGGAGTGTTTTCTACATTATCTACTATTTTATTCATAATTTTCTAAAAAAGAAATTATCCTAATATACTTTATTAACTTTAATGCATAGAAAATCGGATAAAGGTAAATAATTTACGATTTATACGAAACTGTTTGAAAATGGGAGACTTTATTAAAATTAAAACGTAAACATTTAGGATTACAAAGACAAAAAGAACTAAAGTTAAAGGTTTGTATTCGGCAATAAAATAGAAATATTTATAACTACGCAATTTTAAAATAAGGATGATGAGTCTAAGAAAATATCAAAGGTAACAAATAGTATTCTTTTTAACCTATTTTAAAAAATAATAATTCTAAAATGTTTGTTTTTTTCCCTTTTATAGAACAATGATAAATCCTCAAAATGTCAAAGGAACAAGAGTTTAGTTAGTTTTTAATAACTTTATATACGTATTTATTTAATTAGTAGAATATTAAAATATCATATCTTTCTTCATGTTTTAATAAGATGCTCTTATGTTTTAGTCGATAAAAAAAATGTCTTTGGGAAAGACCTATAATGACATGCAGAATAAACCGGAAGTAAATATTTCCTATTATTTCCTTAAAAAATTTTTAAATATAAACTAGTAATTTATTCTCAGCTTTCGTAGTATTTAGCTATTTTAAGATATATTAACGACAAATAATCTGATAAAAATATATGTTCTTTTAAAACGTTCAAGGCTAATAACGAATTAGACAACGAAACGAACAAAACGGATAAGAATCAATCTACCATTTCAGCCTATACAAGGTATACAACCTGCCGGCAGCATGATGAAAAATGCGAAAATTTTTGCGCAACTTGCAATACTCCAGTTTGTCCTAATTGTATTGTAGCATTCCACGATACTCATTTCTTAGTAAATGTTCGACGACAATCCGATTGTCGAATAAAAGAGTTAAGCGGTGTTCTAAATGCACTCAAAGACGTATCTAGGAAAGTTCGCTTTCAATTGGAAGAAATCGAAAACAAAAGAGATTTAAAATTACAAGAATACATTAGCGAAATTCATAGGAGGATCGGTATTAATGCCGAAGAATTAAAAAATGCCCATAAGAAATCTTACGAGGAATGTATAGAGGCCATTGAAGTTCAGGAGGACGATTTAAAAAGGCAAGTCTCGAAGGTAGAAGAAAAATATGCCCAATCTCTTCATAAAGCATGTATTATGATAAATGAATATAAGGATCTGATAGAAAAAAAAGTTGATTACGTTGATTATTTAATAAGAGAGGCTCCTTTTATTGAAATAACAAAAGAAGCTTGCGTTCAAGTACGATTAGACGCGGAGCATTTAGACATTCCAGAATTACCACCTTGGAAAGAGGTATGCTTTGAGGAAGATGGAATTCTCAAAACTGGGATGGACGTACCAAAAATAATAGCCATTTTTAATGATCCCATAATGACAAAACCAGGTCCTAATAGCTTTATATTAAATAGTGATTTTTGTTCAAAAGGTCTACCGAATGACATTTGTTCTACCCCGATTGGTATAATTGTCGCCACAGACAAAGAATTGGCCGAGTTTACTGTTAGCAAAAATAATTTCGTCTGTGAAAAGTACCATTTATTCAACGGTGAAGTAATATCAGTTACTTGTACTAAAGATGGCAGTGGTCTCTATTTCGTTGCCAGGAGCGGGTCGAGTTGTTGGTCTTTACATAGAATTGTATTGAGAAGGAGAGCTATTATTGTTGGTGAATTTGACGATGTCAAGTGTTGCCATTGTATACAATCTACTGGTGATGTCCTTGTTATTGGTATAGTAAAAGGCGATTGCTATTATACATTAAGCGAATGGACTCCGGGTTGCGCTCGTTTAGAGAGTAAAGAAAAACTGCCAGATAGTATGAACGTTATAGATTCCACTTGCCTATGGATGGCAAATAACACCCACACTAGAATAACTATTATTAGCGATAATCACAATGTATGGCTGGTCGGTAAAGTCGATTATAAGACGATATTTAAGCGAATAGACGGATATTGCTGCCCAAGAGGTGCATGTGAATTTCCGTCCGGTTTCCTTCTCGTTGAAGCTGGCTATAACAGAATTGTCAAGGTCAATGAATTCGGCTTACGAGAATGCGTTTGTATCGAGGATAGACTTTGCGCCCCTTTGGTGGTGACGTATAACGAAAAAAATGAGCGGTTGTTTGTTGGCCTATGTGGAGCAGAAATGCCTATCCGTATTTATATATCGCCTTCAAGGTTAGCTTTCTTAAATGGGGGGAAAATGAAAGAAAATTAAGATGACAGGGGTTTATTAGTAAATGATGCTTTCTCTTTGTTTCTTTTGTTTACTATTTTTATATTTATTAAATCAAAAGAACGCCTTGTCCGATGAGAGCTAGGGCAGGTCAGGGAATGGATAATCAGAATTTCTGCGATTTTCCGCAGTCGGACCCATTAAGCACGGCGATGACATCTCAAGCAAGTAATGGTAGGAATACTAAAAGGAACGTCTCATTTCGTAGAAGCGAGCCAAATCAGACAAACCATAGTAACTTAATACAAGAAGATGGTATGGCTCATTTTATATCATATTTGTATAAATTATTGAACTTGTCCTTTACAAATAAGACGATTTTGCCAGATAAAAGTATTGACGAAGAACCCAAATCCTCCACCCAAGCAAGCCAATATTTAAAACCAGTAACCTTTTTGCAGAATTATTGCAATTATAATAACAAGTACGAATCCAAAAAAAAATAATGATACCACCAAATAGACAATTTTCCTCTTTAAAACTGCATTCACTTAAGAATTTTTACTTTTTACATTTTCACCGGTACAACACTACAATACAATTTCCTATTTGGTTTTTCTTCCTCTTTGGCACTTTCACTACTGATATCCTCGCCCTCTGAAATTATCCAAATTTAGACAGACTTCTTTACTGATTAGCGCCATCTTTGGGAGAAGACCTAAGTCAATAGATTAATGCAAAAGCTTCTGTATTTTCTCCCAAGGAATTTTGTTTCAGGTAAACGAGATACTGTAAGAGGAGACCAGCAACAGCAAAATTGGAAATTCGAAGATGGAACAATAATGACAAAATAGTACAGAGTAAAGGCGAGAGTGAAGACTGTAAACGAATAAAACTCGAGATCAGATCGTTATTTGTTCTTTTGGTTTTTTTTTTTCTAAAGGAAACGCTTATTAATTTGTTGACACAATATACAAGAGTAAACAACGGGTAACATTGTAATATTCTATCCCGTGTAGCAGCGTTAATGATTCATTATATAACAGTTTTACTTCACTTTTTTATTAGTAATTCAAGTAAAAGACTAAGTAAAGATGATATAGGTTTAATTCTGTAGAAAAAAGGCTGACACGAAAAATAGAGAAATCTAACAGAAGAATTTTTCATTTAGATTTATATATGTATTAATAGAAGCATAAAAGAGAAAGAATATAATATCGATAGTCGATTTATCAAGACAATCTTTTTTGTTATATCGGTCTGGGTTGTCTGGCGAGAGAGACTAGAAGAAATAAAGTATTAGGCCTTTTAACGGGTTTGAGTATTTATTATAAGGAGAGAATAAAGAAGAGAAAATCCTTTTTTCAGCTTCGTATAAAAAAGAAATGGATTAGGTAACAATAGCTCTATTTATTTAAGGATTAACGATATAAAAAATTATTACATTCTATTTAGAATTAGGAATTTAAAATAGATATTTTATAACATTTTTCTTTAAAAGACAAGAATAAGAAAAGAGGGTTTTTGTTTATTTAATTAAAAAAAAAATTACAGTATAATCAAAACTTTTGTATGGAAGGACTGTTTCACGCAAAAGGTTTAAAATTACTTTTCGCCTATCTCTTTTTCCCTTTTTTGACTCTGTTTTTTCTTTTTTTTTTGGCGTTTTGTTTTTTTCTTTTTTTTTTTATCTCTCTAATTGAGAGACTTACTTCACTCCTCCTGGATTAAAGACAGAGCCTAATTGAGAAGAGGAGTACGGAAAACTAATTAAGTATTTCGTCATTTGCATTATCATCGGTTGGTATTTTTCTGAAACTCTGTTATTAAGAGATCAATTATATCTATATATATCTATTAGTTTGTTACTTTTATTTATCTAATATTGGGTCAGGGATATACAGTATAGGCTGTTTGGAGGACAAGCTCTGAAGGTATCTTTTGCTCGGTTATATATGACAGTTCTATGAAGAGATTTTAAGAAACGATTGCCAAATATAATTACTCTCTTTATAACTGATTTATACATGACGAATATCTGAAAGCTTCGATAAAAGACTGCTGCTGGGCCTTCTAAGGCTAGGCCTGTTAAATAGGCCCCGTATAAATAACTGTTCATTCGCCTACTATCTAAGGAGGAAATAAAGAGTCCGAAGAATTGGAACTTGTGGTATATTGCGCAATTTAATCAACCGTCTAAAAAGACCCTAGTTATGAAAAATATACCAGAATTGCTCTATGTTGAACTGCAACCCCCACCTTTGATTTATTGCCCTTTTGGCTTAACGAAATGCCCGAACGAATCGGACAAGGAAGATGAGGATGATGAGATAATATTCCAATGGAATACAATACCACATCTTCCATATCCAGGCTTTAATCCAGATTGTACAAACCAGGATAAACTAACCGAAAAAAAGAAGATGACATATTATAGAATAAAGAAGCAATCAGGTAAATTTTTGTTTAAATTTAAAATTTCCTATATAGCCAGTAATAAGAAAGTTAATTTTTGTTTTTTACTTAGCAATTATTGCTATTACCGATTTAGTTAAGTGTTATAATAGTTATTTGAGTGAGGCTAGAAATAACGTATTTGACGATTTGTAATTTATATTATGATATAAAACCTTTGGCTAATATATATAATATCTAAGTAAGCTATATACGCTATTGGATATAAATATATATAAAATATTAATAACAATTAATACTAGAGTGTTAAAAATGAGTAGAGGGAAACGATGAGAGAAAGAGCGAGAGAGAGAGAGAGAAAAAAAAAGAGTGGGAGTCAACGAGAAGAGAAAATTAAGGAGTACGATGAACTAGGAATAGTAAAATGGAATTATTCTAGGTTGAGTAGTTTGTCAAAAGAGTTTTACAGAAAACAAACAAAAATATAATAAACAACATATTACTATATACCTACATAAGGATACATTTATATATACATATATTAGGTACGATCTGAAAATATCATACAATTTGCTGTAATTTTAAAACGGCGTGACTAATACTATTGATACTTAAACTGTAAATATATTACTTAATCTGTAAACTTTCATTGTGAAAACTTTCATTTGGCTCTGTCAAGCCACTACAAAATTATTTCGGTGCAAGCAACAACCTCTTCAAAGACTATTCACACAAGGTTAAAAAGCTATTGTGGGCATGAACCTTGGGTTCAGCTCTATGATCCTGAATCAAAGAGGGCTTCCCTAACCTACAAACACACATCATCTCCACCAGTCTGTACACAACAGATTTTATCGGAAATCAGGGATCGTCTGTATGTCCACATCCCTCATACAGCCCTGATTTGGCCCCATCTGATTTTTACCTGTTTGGACGATTAAAACATCATATCAGGGGAGTTGGTTACAAAAATTTGGATGAGCTAAAAAAAGACATCCGGGAGTTTTTGAGGAGAAAATCATCCTCCTTTTATCGGAACGGGATATATATACTTCAATCCAAATGGCTAACATGTATAAACAATGGGGTGGACTATTAAGGAATAGAATAGTTAATTTTTCTTGAGTAGACTATAGGCTATAATATAAAAAAAATTATTAAAATAAGTTAACTTCTATAAATATAAATACAAAATATATAATACTTTTAGATCGTACCTAAAATATATATAGAAGTATATAAATATATAAATAAAGTTTTAAATTCAATAATAGAAATATCAATAGGTTGAAACTGTTTTTTTTTTCTTTTCAAGGGCAGCTTGCTTTAAATATGTGCTTGATCTTTATTTTCCAAGACAGCCTTGTAAAGTTCTATAACATAGTCTTGAATTTTAAATATTTCAAGGATAGCTAGCCATTCATCCTTTTTTCTCTAACAAATCGCAGAGGTTAACGTGGCCTTGGTTCTTTCTTGAAAAACGATCTATTGTATTTTATTATTATTGTTAAATTGTTTGGTTCTTGTTGTTTTGTTGTTTTATTCGGTGAGAACAAAAATTTTGATAATATCGCTATTTAATTTATTTCAGCAATAAGAAATTATAAATGCGAAAGTTGCCCTTGGAGTTTCTATCGACTCTCCGAACTAAAGAGACATAGAAGTGTACATAGTCAATATAGGCCGTTTGTCTGTGAATTTTGCAAGAAATCTTATCGGAGGGTTGATCATCTAAATACTCACATTAAAAAGAAACATCAAATAATTCGACGCAGGATACGAAAAGAGAATACGAACACATTTAGTTGTTGATGTTTCTATTTCTTTTGCCTAGAAGATGAAAATAAGGAAAGAAACTATTTGTTTAGTTGTCGGTAGCACAAAAAAACTATGATAAGCTGAGTTTTTACTCTATAAATGAATAAAGAGTAAATGCCAATTTTGTAATTGTAAGCTATCTTTACTTTATTATATTAAATATAATTTGTAATTTCTTGCCAAAATAAACCACTTAAAGAACGAAAGAAAGGGGAAGACTGGATAAAGAATAAGAGAACAAACAAAAACTCTACTAAAACTATTAACTCTACGAAGAGAATTTTAGCATTACAGAAATATACGTTTAATAAGATTGTTAGTTTGTAACATTGTATACTTATGCTAACGCTAAAGATTGTATATTTAACTTGTGTATAGATGTATTAGGGTTAGGGTTATATATGTATTCATGATATTATACTATCCATGCATGGTACAATTTTTATGAAATAATAAAACAAAATAGTAATTAATAATTGTTTTTTCTCTTTTGTTATTTAGTAGCCAATTATCAACGGGTTAACGAAGCCTATACAACTTCAAAGCAGTGCGCTTATGGAAATGTCTCTCCTTTTAATAGCGTGTACTGAATATGTTTTTTCAACCTTAGTTAATCATTACTGATAATATAGCTTTCTATTGGCAAAATAGTGTAAGAGCAAAAAACAAAGATTTTAAATTTAGTCTCGACCTCCCAATTAATATATATAAGGAAAGTACTACTCCATTGTCCTTATTACGTTTCCATATGCAGTGTACTCGACGAACTTGGTACTTTTTCAAGATGAAAGTCATTGTTGAATGATACTAAATATATTTAGAGCTCTACGCTTAAATTAGAATTAGCAGACAGACGAATCCCAAATAGTAATAATTTACGGAATAACAATATTCATGCAAATAGTGAAAAAGTTATTGAGTTGATATAAATGGTTTCTCGTGAGCAAAGCTTAAAAATGATGTTTGAGCGCGTTTTTCTAAATTTGCCAATTCTTGGACTGCCGGAGCTAGAATATCAACGTGGCCTTTGTACGTTCCACCACCAACTTTCCTCTTTTGTCCGTAAGAAACTTTTCCATCGAATTCATTCACCGGAACATCTAAATCTGTACCGACATTGTCAATGGTGACGCCTAGATGTTCTTCAATGTCGGCCAGGTACTGAGGTTCGTTGTACCAGATACAGCACCCTCCGTGATCAGTTAGTAAAGTATTATAGCAGTTTTTTCCTCGATTTGAGCAATTGGAATGATACCAAACCTAGAAAGAGAAGAATTTTTGTATACGCATATAAATGAATAATCAATTGCTTCTAAGAATACTACGAATTACGTGGGATAAATCGTTATTTTACTGAATTGAATCTAAGCGTAGCTCTACAATAAAAATAGAAAAACGACAAAAGCAAAGGTGGTTAAAAGTGAGGGCATGAAAAATAAAATGAACGATATCATTAATTATTCATTCACAACTCTCTTTGCTGTGTTTTTTCTTCATAACTAGAAAAACTATATTAAAGCTATTTCCTTCTATTTTTTTTTCAATTAACATAAGAAAAAAAGTTGAGAAAATTGAGAAATTCCGTTTATACTGTCACGTATGTAACGATCAGAGTTTAAGGACAAATTAGTTATTGAAGGATTACGTCACGTACTTTTTCCTTCACAGCTGAAACAAATGATATAGCCAGACCCATTCTCTCTGCTCGTCCAACTCTGCCTATTCTATGCACGTAATTCTGCTTCTCATCCGGCAAAGTAACGTTAATTACTGAAGTAAAAGTGCTGATAAGATAAAAGTTTAATTTTTTTAAAAGAGCAGTTATTACCGTAGGGTAATTTTGAAATATCCAATCCTCTGGCAGCTACATCAGTACATATGAGAAATTTGACCTCTCTTTTCTGAAAGCAAGTATACAAAGATAACAATGAAAAATAATTGGAGATTCAATAAGAAGATAAAGTTCGATTAGTAAAATAAAAAATTTCAAATACAGGTACACTAACCTTAAATTTTTGCAAATTGCTTGTCCTTTCATTGGGTCTTCTATCGCCGTGTAAACATACACAGCTGAGCTCTCCTCGTTGATTCTCATGACTTTTCAAATACAATTCTAAATTATCACAGTCTAATTTCGTTCGGCAAAAAATGATGGCTTGATCCATTTTATGCTTTCGGATAGCACGAATAGTGTATTCACCTTTCAGTAATTTAACCGCCTCTGATAATGATTCTGTTTGAAATATAGAAAAAAGAAAAAAAATAAAATTACATAGCTGCATATTGTCGTTCTTCGTCTATTTTAACTTTCTTTTTCTTTCATTTATTGATATATAGTAAATATATTATAGTAAATATATTTGTTTATTTATTTTTGGGAATATCTCAGAACGTTAATTCAACACTGTTGAAAATTATTTACTATAAACAATTACTTCAATAACAAAAGCAGATTATTTATTAAGCCTAATTTCCTATTCTATTTGATATTACTCGCAAAAAGGATTAGCCACTTCCATGTAATTCAATCAATTATTATTTGATAGATAAGTAACTTTAACAACGACTTTTCCTCGTATAATAACTAAGAAATTAAATAATTCATAAAAGTTTTCTCATGTGCAATAATCAATTTTTCAAGTCACTTAACGAAAACATTAGGTGTTAGTTTTTCTGTACTTGAAAATCTTTTGTTTTTTTGTTCTCCTTTTCTTAAATGGTGATGTTGTTTACGAACAGAGATAGAGAGAGAGCGAATTTATTATATAAAACGAATTTATACGTAGATATTGTTAAATAGTATACACTATAGACACCTCTCTCTCTCTCTCTCTCTCTCTCTCTCTAACTACCTACCTACCTACGAACCCAGCTCGCTAACTAATATACAGTACATGAAGAAACTGTCTGATGAAAAACACTTTATGAAAGAGTAGAAACTTCAAAGCACTATTTTCGATTTTCATTATTTTTCACATATATTTTACTTATTATTTAAAACTAAGAGATAAATATTTGTACTCTAGAAGAAGAGTCTTTGCGTGCTCTATCTCCCAATAATTTTCTCATATATATCATTGTTTATAAATATAAATTGATTAAGGAATATATAATAGGTTTAGTATAATTTATACATGTAGCATACAAAAGTATACATGTATATAATATATATCTTATATTCTTTCGTTGGCACGATTAACCGCTTTTAGCCTTAAGATACCTTTTGTTATCGAACCGAACTAATTACTACTCGGTCGTGTACCATATGCTATTTTACAATTTCAACCATTTAGATAGTTGTGTTAATTGTTTGTTAAAGATTATTTGGATGAAAATAAATGAAAAGATTAATCCATCTTAGTGCATTAGGCTACATTTTGTTTATTGTTTTTTGTTTTTATTAATTAAAGACATCGTTATTTTTCCTCTCTGAGATATATACAGTATATAGACAGATATTTTTACAACAACATCGATTACAGCTAGAAGCTTTTGACGTATTCTTGTACATTGAGTTGTTTTAATTGTCATGTTGATAGAGAAAAAAAAGAGTGAAAATAGAAAGAAATAATGACAGATATCTCTTTGTTATAGGCGATTAATCAGACTATGTGTTAAATAAGTAAAAAAAGAATTAATACAAAAGCAAGATAAAACTAAATGGCCCTTTAATAAATACATTTTTTAATTCATAAATAAAATAAACGTACAGGAACACATCATTTAAAATAAGCTTGTACATACACTTTGTACTAGTACTTTTTAAGCAAAATGTACTAAATAGACTATATGACATGAAAGGCAAATCTAAAGGTTAATATCAAAGAAGATATCTAGATGTTATAATCAATTTAAAAAGGAAACGTATAAAGTTCCTTACTAACTAAATTAAACCGTAAAATTACGAGATGCAATTATTAAAAGAGCATCCAGTATTTGATGGAGAGAGCGCCATCTGTAAAATTTTTAGCTCAGCTCCTCAGTCTGACGTCCGTCATCCTCCAACAACAATCGTAAGTAACATAATATTAAGCTTTCGTAGAGTTAGCGTGAAATAACCAAAGTTAGACGGCTGCATAGTCCGCCGGTGAAATTCTTTACTATACAACCGACTACCTCAAGTCATTAAACGCAATTTTTTCAATAGCTTGTTGAGATATCCTACTTCTTAATCAAGACTTTTCTTTTTTAAAAACTTAGAAACGAAACCAATTACTACACCTTAGGTTATTCTCAGGTTAATTATATAGATATATTAGTTGAATATAGCTATAAATGAAAATATTTCTACCAGACGTTTTTGACAAATTTTACAAGATTTATAAATCAAAGAGATAAGTGTAAATCGTTTATGCCTTACTAGATTTGGTGTTAATTAATGTTTTTCATTAAATGTACCACTTTAAAAGCTCAATTTGTTGAAATTGAAGATTGATAACGGGTAATTAAAGATAAAATTATACAACGGTCTTGGAACAGACTTTTGATTGAGAAAAGAGATTACATATTATACGATAGTCAAGTAGAAAGTTACAATCCATCTGTGATGAAAGCAGTAACAAATATTTTTAATCAAATGAAATGTACAAGTTGATCATACTAATTTACCTTTAATAATAAACTTTGTCCAACATTTTATGTCTTTCGTTTCAAAACAAACAGATATCTAGTTCGTAATACGTATAGGGTATACTTTTAGATACACTATATATATACAGTATATATATATATATATATATATATATATTATCAACAACAGGTACACATTTTATCTGATTTTGCCATGTCTTAAGATTTGCCACTTCACCTTAATTAACGTTGCCCTTTACTAATTTGTATTAAGATGCTATTGGATGTCAAATTTCTTAACAGTTAAGATAAACACATAGATTTATAGCATTTAATTAAGTACAAGTAGATATCATGGTATATATCTTGATGCTATTTATTGGAGACTATTACATTAAAAATGTTGAAAAAATTCTAACATTCTTAAGAATCAAGAGTGGGAGGTAAAGGAAAGAAAGAAATAGCAAGCTAGACATAAAATAGTTGATAGATTCTCTAGTCAAAGAAGGTGGGTAAATAAGATGTAACAGTAGGAGAAAAAAGAACAAACTATATAATCGAATATTAGAGGTTTTGATCGTAAAGTGCTGTTAATGTAAAAGAAACTTTTAAATAAAAGAAAAAAGTAACGAATGAATAGAAAATATTACGTAAATATCAGGCTCTTCATAGGGCTTATTAGGAAATATGAAAAGATTAAAGCCCTTTTTCAGACTTAAACAAGTGAATGTCTACAATTCAGATGGTAGGTTCTTCCGGTTGTTACAAAAAACTAACACGGTGGCACAATCACGTGATGAATTTCCAGCTAATCTTGGTGGCAGCCTAGTAATATACGTAAGGGTACCTTCAACAGATCCCCATTAACATGCAAACAGGCTTATTTTCTTACATGATGATTGTTGATTTTTCCTTGTTTTGCCCTGCTTTTTTATTCTTTTCTAACATCTAGGCCTACAAAAGCAATAACTTTTTTCTCCCATATTTATTGTTCTAGAACAAACTGTAATAATGATTTACAATTGAAATACCATGTTGGTGCAGAAATTTTCCAATTAAAAAAAGTGCACATCTACCAAATATAGCAATCTCCTAATTATAGATTCATTTCCTTTAGAATAAAATTTTCTTTTAACCAGTTCTAACGCTCTTTCTTTGTACAGGAACATGAACAGGACCTCAAATAATACGCTCCTCAATACTACGGAAGAGTCGGTGAAGTACTATTTTACATCAATCGTGCTACCCATTCTGGCGGTAATAGGAATATTTGGTAATTTAGCTATTGTTCCCTCTCTCTCCAACATCAATCATGAACATTGTACTGCATCTTTCGCTAAGTTAATTTGTTCAGCAAACGTTCTGGTTCTTTTATTAGATCCCGGTTTAGACGCAATTTCAAAGCTTACAGAAACTAGACATCTCACTCAATTGTATGAATGGACTTGTAAATTACATACAGTTACGGACCAAACATTTCTTCATTGGACTGCATGGTGTACTGTGCTAATGGGCGGTGAAAGGGCAGTGTTTCTTTTCAAACCTTCTTTCATATGTTCGCCCTTTAAAGCCAAATGCCTTGCAACGGCGGCTTTCATAGGAGTTTTATCAATAGATGTTCACGCCATGTGGTCTCATACTATCGACAAGATATGGGGGTGTTATTTCGATTTGGTATATCCAGATTTTCATACGCTCTACTGGCCCTACGTAATTGCAAGTCTAAACACTTATGCACCGATATTGTTCGGTATCGGAATAGCTTTTGCCGTTACTGTTGGCATTAGGTAGGGGGTTTTTATTATTTTCCCAAGACCAAATTTCAATATAGCTAAATATTAAAACCATTTTTCATCTTAAGAGAGGTAAAATATAACTTAAGACAATCAAAGCTCCTTTCATCTATTGCAGTTGTGCCTTATGTAGTATTAAGATTTATATAACGTTAATACAGCCGATATCTGTACATCTTTCTAAAAAATACGTCCTCAAAAATATGTATATATATTAAAATAATAAATAGCTTAGACTTGTGCCAACTTTACGTCAACACAAATATACGTCGAAAGAAATGGCAGAGAGAGAGAAAGGGAGAGCGAGAAAGAGAGAGCGAGAAAGAGAGAGAGAGAGGGAGAGAGAGAGAGAGAGAGAGAGTATTCTAGAGTTAATAGATGTACAACCCATAATAGAAGCTATCTTTAAATTTGAAAAATGGAATTCGAAAAATAATAAAAACCTAACTGAAGTCGACAAAAATTTCAATTGCATTCACGACAAATCGAAGAAGATGAAGTTAACTTGACATTCGATAGAACAGAAGAAGCTTGGTCAAAGTGTTCTCTTCTTATTCTTCTAAGTTATATTTTTTTAAATTTCCCTCTTATTCTAATTAACATTATTCAATTTTCAACGACTGCACTACAACTGATAGATAGCAAATGGAAAGCACAAATACAAATGGCCGATGTCGTTGTTCAAGTGCTTGCCTTTGCTCACTGTAGTTTTACTGCGGTTATGATTCAATTGACAGCACCTGGAATTCGAGGCTTTTATAGAATTTGTTATAAGAGACCGAAAAGTCGTCGAAACGCTGAAACAGTTGAAGATGGATCAGAAATAATGCTAAAACAATGCAAACAATGTAAACCAGGTGAGTATGATTAAGAAAAGATGATGAGCCAAATTGATTGAGACAGTGTAAAATTGTTATATGTGATTGTAACCTTAACATTGAATTAATGTAAATAAACCTTTCGGAAAAAAAGGAACAACAAATACAACAATAACCAGCTAAAAAAAATCATTAATGCTCTACAATCCTAATTTCAATAGGAACTGAAAATTCGACAAAATGGAATAACCAGGCTTCAAAAATCAATTTCTTATAATGCTCCTTAACCACAGCTGAAATACACCAATAGGATGTGATTTAGAAAATAAGGATAAGTAGGAATTAACCCCACTTCATCATACGAGCATTGTGGATTCTGCTTGTGGCCATTGTAGGCAAGAAAAGCTAATTTTTTCAAGTAAAAAATAATTCGTAATGCTCCCTCGGGTCAACCTTAATAGAACAACGAGGGTTAGGCAGTAACAATCAATTAGAATCACTCACTAAAGCCGTTTTAACCTGATTTACAACCGGTAGTAATAAATAGCAACAAATAACCTTGGAGACTTTGATTATAACTGACGAATTTCTGTGCGCGAATTAACGATTTAGTACGAAGGGCAAACACATTATACCCTAATTCAAAAGATATATTCTTACTTGAATCTATCTGCAGAACTAAAAGATTTACAAGTCGAACAGATTGCTCTCTATTTATGTTTAACAATTCAAAAGGGAATACAGCTTGCAGATATTTCCTCGGAGGAGAAGTAGGGAGGATTTGCTTGCATTTCATATACATTTTAAATCAACCTACTGTATATATTGTATATAGATGTCTTTGACTGAGATTGTTTTTATGCTATTCTTATGGACTGTAGTTTTTTTTTCCATCATACATTTTGTATAGAAATTCATTGTTATAACTTTTCAAGGATATTTTCTGTATGACTTATGACTTTAATGCTTGTATATTACATTGTCAATAGAATAAGAAAAAAAACTAACGCTATCTTATTCTAGTAGCCTAGAGGTAAACGAATTTGTTGCAATCCTGATAAGCAAGAAGGGTATTAAAAATTTACAAACCCGCAGTCTCAACATTCATTCTTTGTTTATCGTTATGGTGGACACCGTCCGTTTGTATTCCGTTCCGTATGCTTTTCCACGATTCATCTTTTCTTGGATCAACAGTTAATACTACGTGATGTACGGTCTCGGGAACACTATCCTATTTCAAAAAAAATAGTAATAGCTAAGTCGGATAGTAACACATTAATTATAGTACAAAGAACAAAAAATTTAAGACATCCTTAAGTAGATTGAAAAATACTTATTTTTGATGAAAGTTGACAAAAAAGCTTTGTTGGTTTCTCTTTTAATATTATTTTTTAAATAGTCTTTGTTAAACAAAAGCTAACAAGAGAAAAGGAGGAGATATAATTATCTACGAAACATTCAAGTTCTGATATCATATTCATTTTATGGTAATAATTAGTCTAGATTTCCTATATTTTTACAAAATTTGCACGAAATGTGTATCAAAATTTTATAGACGTGAAGAGGATTTCACCAGAGTCTGTTAATTTTGTATTGAAAAATCTCATTGACTTTTTGCTGCAGAGTCAACTTAGTATTCGTCTCACTGGCGAGAAGGTTCTTGTATTATATGTAAAAGTCATAAAGCTACTAAAATACGCTTAAACTTGTTTTTTTCGCTTTCCTATAATATTCTTTTCCTACATCTACCTACTTGCAGTGACCCTTTTCATTAATTGCAAGGGATTTTCTTATGAATAAAAGTGTAATTAGTATAAATACCGATCAGGTAAATGTAAAATAACATCTCAAGAATAAAAAAATTACATAGCTGAAAGAAAAACGAAAAAAATTAATCCATACTGAGTTTATATATTAATTACTGCTTTATATCTACTTTTTATGCTTAGTTAATAGTCATTTTCAACAAATATTTCTAGTTAAAATATGTCAATCCCTAATATTTATATGCATCTATGGATGTACATATTTGTACGCGTATGCACTGTATATATAACAAGAGATATAAATATTTCAAGTATTGTATGGCAAAGCACTTCCCTAGCGAGTGTTTCTACTTGGGCGAGTGATAATTTTTAGAGAAATAATTTACTTTCAAAACAAATGAAATTATATTTATGTATATTATATTTCTTTTCCTAACTACGAGTAGAGTTTTCTTTCAAGTTTCTTTGATTAAGAAATCAACTACGCATCTACTAGTAACGTTGGTAAACCAAAGAAAAAGCGAAAAAAAGCAAGCTTTCTACAATTGTTAATAATCACCTTGTGAAGGCTTTTGTATCATTACCTATTGAAGAGCGTTACTATGCATTCTCATGTTTATGTAAAATATAAAATTATAATAGCTTTGTACATATATGGTATATAAAAAAAAAGCCAATACCTCTTTGTCTATTTCTAGAAAATACTAAATGCAATATTAATTGAGGAGGATCTCTATACTGTATTTTATAGGAACTGGTAATATTTGTGATTTGTCAATAGGATACACATAGGATTTAGGTAATATCTTTCTATATCTCTTTTAAAATGTTTGTTTTATATTTCTCTTGGGATAATGAAGCATATAGTAAAATATGTTTAGCCAGTCTATTAAAGGCAGATGTTTTCGACCTAAAGATAGTTTTAATATCTAATCTCAAGCCTAATTGAAGGTACTTAGTTAAAAAATAGAAAAAAAGGGAGTTCTACCTTTCTGGTAGTCTAGATGGTACCCTTTAACTTGAATATAGATTGGTAAAACATCCTACTGACATTAAAAATGTTTCGTGACTAATTATGTTTGAAAGCAATTTCTACCATATTAATGGATCTTGGAGACAAACTTCAAGGTCGAAGATGCTCTTATTTGGGCTTAATTACATCTACTTAAATAAAACCGTTTAAAAAAGCTTATTTCTTTTTTTTTCAATCTCTAAACCACTTTGTAAATTAATTAATTGTAAACTAACAACCTTCATTTAATCCTTTTTTTAACAACCTTTTATGACAATTTAGCTGATAATTTGCAGGTTAAAAATGCAATAAGTACACAGTTTGTCTTTAAAAAAGAGAAAGAAAAAAAATTTAAGTTACCTGGCCTTTCAAATCTATCCAAGTAGGAAAATGCATTAATTTCTCTGCCATTTTCTTAACATCAAAAGAGTGTAGTGTGGCGGAACACACAACCATCTGTAGTTTGTTCCCATCACTAGTCACTTTTGGGATAGACCTATGTAACCGTTCAATTAAATGACCATAACCAGCAGAAAGTAGGCCATCGGCTTCGTCGAGAACAAAAAATCTAGAAGAGCAAATAAATCACTTTCTAATGTCAGGCATAAAAAATTTTCTTAGTAAAAAAATACCTGCAAGCCGATAATTCCAATTTATTAGAAGAAATCAAATCCTCTAATCGCCCAGGTGTTCCTACAACTATATCAATACCAGAATTTAGGGCGTCTACTTGTTCTTTAGCACTAGCTCCACCAATTATAAGCAATTCTCTGAGGGAAATATTTGAAAGATCTTTTAAAGCATGGCTTCTTAATTATCAAAAAATTAAGTATCTACTGTTTTCCTTTAAAGTACAGTATACAGTTTCAGTAGACAAAACATTAAGATTGATAATTCATTATGCTTACATATTATGCTACAACATAAAGTGTACAGAAATGTAAAATGTTATTAACAGTAAAAAGCTTTAAATTAAATTCAGACTGAAGATTTCGTCTACTTTAAAGAATTCTTTACACAGGCATAAATGCATTTACTACAGTATTTCTGCTTAAAACAGAGAAAAGAGGTTTTTTTTGCTAATTAGGTCATAGAGACTACAAGTAATCTTTTTGCTAAAGGTATTGCGTACGACAAGAGATGGCGCTTTTATAGGAATTCTATCTTTATCCTTTTTAAATACAGTCTCTATGGAAAATATTTAGAAATGAGTTATGATTATTTTTAGAGAAAGGAATCGATATCTAATTGTAACTTAAAAGGATATTCTCTTTGGCGTATACAAAAGTATGCTGGTAATTTGCGCTAAATGTCCACTAAAGGAAGAAACACAACGTCTAAGTACATGAACGTTTGTAGAAGACAAACTACGATAGAGTTACCACAGATTAACAGAATGTAAAAGAAATATTTCTTCCACAATAGGCTTTGATAATAACATGAATTTTTGACCTAACATACCTTATTTTTGGATCTTTCAAATACTTCTTAAACTTTATTATCTGATTGTAGGTCTGCTCAGCCAATTCTCGACTAGGTTCAATAATAATTGAGTAAGGAGCATTCGGACGTTTGGTGACGGGACCAGTAGAGCCACCTGTTGCGTTAAATTGTTTTAGTATTTTGTTTTTAGCAAAAAAAGTTACTATCAACATAAGGTGTTTTGTCCCAACAAAGCAAATACCTGAAATCTTAGAAACGACAATGTTACTTGAGTCAGCAGTATTTAGCCCTTTAAAGTTTTCTTTTGGTTCATAAGCAAATTTTTGGTGACCGAAATTGAACTTCATTTCCGCATTCTAAAAGAAACAAAATAGGTTAAACAAATCTTTGGTAGAAAAAAAAAGTAACCTTAAGGCACACAGCAGCGTAGAAGGTCTCATTCTGTAAATGTGCGGGAATATCGTAGGCTTTTCCAAAATCAACTCCTGGTGAATAAAATTCATACAAATGTAAAGAAATATATAGCACTGTTTATTTATATAAATCGTAATAGGTCCGAAGAAATATTTGAAAATAAGCTACCCCAAACGATAACCTTATCTAGAGAACGTTTACAAAATATTTGCACAACATTTTCCACTGACATGTTATTAATAACAAAAATACTTCCAATAGTTTGTACTTTGTAATACAGAGAGAACAAAATAATTTACTCACCATTCTTCGACCATTTAACGCTGTATGAATCCAAATCCAGATAACAGCCGATAACGTCGTTAATACCAAAAGCCTATTTATTGTATAAGATTAGAGTCGCCCATCCGAAAAATTGATTTACTATGCTTAGGGTATGATGACTAAGAACTGATGATACGGAATAATGACTGCGAATATATCTTTTAACCCTTAAGCGATTCTAATAATGAAATTGCAACAGGAATAAATAATTATTTTAACTACTAATATATATATACTGTATATATAGGTAAGAAGATTTTAACAGAATATTTAATTCAGTTCAATTTAGTATGTACGTTTGCATTAAAAAGTGCTTATGAGCACTTAGAATACGACGAATGATGATACATTATAACACGATTTTTTGGAGTAATCAATTTAAATTACGTAAAAAAGTTAGCGCATGGCTCTCAAGGAAGGAAAAAACCCATTTTTTAGCAAGTAAGCTAACTACGTATAGTAGTTATACGTATCTTCTTCAAATATGAAGAGTCAGCAAAAAATTGCTTATGATCCACTATGAGTTTATTGCCTCAAACATTAATTTTAAAAGAGCTTCGTCAAATATCAAATATTCCAAATTCAACAATTAAATTGTAGTATCTTTCTTAAAAAAATTGTTCAATACTCTTTACTTAAGGATTAAGCTATTAAGTATCTATTTAGCTCTAATTGATATGGTCTACAGTTATATACTATTTAGCGGTCAGTTTCAGCTTACCTCGCCGTAAGTATCAAATTGTCTTCCGAAGCTTTTCTTTCCAGTTCCTCCGAATCCGTATCCTTCTTTATCAGTCCCCAAATCTAAAGAAGCCTTTGCAGTTGACCATCCAACTCTGCATAGTCCCTCATCTGTTACTTTAGCCTCATAATAATATTTCCCTTTTCCAACTACGCCTTTATTAGATCTTGTTCCTTGCCATATTTTAGCATCTCTACTTTGGCATAGTGTTCCGTCTGAATCGATAGCTAATTTATCTCCCCTATCGAAAGGGTTCATCTTCCATTTCGAGTCTGAAAGTTAAAAGAGATTAATCTGAAGGGAAAATCGTATGATAAATTTTTGTCAGAGGAAAAATTTCTCGAGAAACTGTCAATTAATGATCGGGCGTTTTTAGTTGAAAAAGGCTATTATTCTATTTTAAGTGGCATTACTTCCGCGTGAAAAATTATTCACGTTTCGCCGGAATTCAATACATGACCTTTAATAAATCATACACAAAAGAGTAGTAGTTTTGAGATGTTTAACTTAAAGTTTACGAAACAGCTTAACACTGCAAACATATTACATTTAAGTATAACACAAAATAAAATGCTTTTATAAATCACCATTCTATATCAACTAAATTGGAAATTTTTTTTTTGTGTATTAAAGTCATAGATGAAGGTTAAAGCACGATTCTGTCATTGATATAGCGAATATTCAATAAGCAGTTCCTGTGTTGAACCGGTCGAATATTCACGCTATATTTGAAAAGGGTCATAGGTTATTTTTGACACTTATTCAAGCGAGATTGTAATCAAATCCAATGAAATCTCAAAAGCACTGATAGTTGAGAGGCCGGCTCTTCGTATTTTAGAAAGCTTATTGATGACCATCTGCCCCGAACGGTAGAGGTTCTCTAATAAAGTTTTTTACCGATGAAAAGGAATTACATGGTACGTCAGTCAAAAATTTCGTTACTTTGAAATACGAAAATGTTTCAATTAAAAGTTTATCAAATCTTCAAGAGAAAGGGAGTTATTTCTCTCCTTTTTTATATTTTTATTATCAATACTTAATCTATTAGTATAAGCAGTCTAGCTTTTATTTTAAGGGTAAGTGCTGACTTACTTTCTATTTAGGTGGTTGATTATCTATAATTGTTGCATACATCTAAGAAATTTAAGAAGTCTACTAAAAACTTTTCAAAAAGTGAATTTTAATCGAAATATTTTGTTTCTAAGGGTAACCCGAGTCATACAGTATATTTCGAAGTAATTGATATGTACAAAACGCAGATGACAGTGAAGTAATAGCATTTTCCAATAAACTATTTGTTAATAAAACATTATTATCAATGAATAGAAATAGTCTATAAATGAAAAATTCTGTTTTTTCTATTTTTTTAGCAAAAAAACCAAAAACAACCAAACAAAATACTTACTCTTTGAAGTTCCACCGCTTGCTCCACTTCCACCTCCACCCTTATTTCCCTTGTTCTCCCTAACATTTCTAAGAGTTTCTTGTACAATTTGTATAATCGGCAAACAAAATGCTCCTGTTTTGCCACTGCCAGTTTCGGCGGCCTGTTCGGGAAAAAAAGCGTTAGTAGGAAGAATAGAAAGGAAGGCCATAGCAACTATCCAGGGTCATTGCATTTCAAAGGGCAACCCCTATACTCATTCAACACCATAAAAAATTGCGCTTTATTATCTCATATTCCTGTGAATGTTTTAAGCTAAAAGACGTCCTTCATGTCAGTCTTTTTTAAGAGACGTTAAATTGTTGCAAACGTTGAAAAGTCTAAATAGACTCCATATAAAGAATGGATACAATTTGTTTTTATAGATACTATTTATATCTATTTACAAAAATATTCGATTACAAGACAATATACAACAAGTAGCAATTATGATGAAACTTAGTGGTTTGAAAAACCGGCGGTTTGAAATTGGATTCTTAGTAAAATCTCTTTTTCTAATATGCTCTAGTCGCGGTTCCGATATGAGCCTGTTAATATCTAAGTAATAAATGATGACTTTTTCCCAAGAGTCTCAACTTGATGGAATTAAAGGTCAAAAGAGAAAAATGACAATGCCCTTCCTATTGTCAAAAACTGTAACGTGGTTTAAAAAAAATTTCCTATTTTTACTAACAAGGTAGAATTTGAAATGAAAAGGGAATTGAAAGAGAAAAAGTCTAATGAGTTCAAATTTATATTCACTGTAAACTTTTAATTGATAAAATTATCCATCGTTTAAGTAGAGAGAACAAAGACTTTAACAGACGTTAAAGAAACTAAGAATACAAATTGTCACCTAATTAAAAATTTATATAAAAAAACCTATGAATTTATTAACTATCTTTTTTTTAACGAGTTGAAACGGTATCTAAAAATGTTCGAATTCTAAAATAGAAATTTCGGTTGAATTGGTTACAAAAAAAATTTTCAAAATTTCCATGACCTAGATATCTTAAAGATAAGATAAGTGTTATCTCACCTCTGCTTATTCTTCATTAAATAGTATAGGGAAAAAAAAAAATAGGGGAACAGATAGATAGATATTCTCTTATTAAAACTAATTCACTACTTCTATTTTTACTTACAAGAGTTTAATAAAATAGTTTTAAACTGTTATATAAAAAACGGTTGAATAAATTTTCAAGAGTATTTGAGCGCAGTAGGTTTCGAGTTTATCGCTCCTTTAAAAGTATTGTTATACATTTTTTATCAAAAGCCTTCAGTTTTCTTGTGATTTAGTTGGGTGTCGCAAAAAAATTAGTGCACCTACAGGCGATGTCATTCTGTTATAAGATGTAAAGATCTACATACTGTATATAAGTATATATATAAATATATATATATATATATATATAGACAGATATACAGATATATATATATATATATATATATACACATATGACTTATATGAATTCTGTATAATATCCTTTATAAGTTAACAGCTGCAATGGCAAATATTATTGATAAGTTACAAAAAAAATGACTCGAAAAGAAATAGCGAATAGAAATATTCATATTCGATGAGAGAATGTTAGTTCTTTTAACAAGTAATATATTCCTTTTATATATTTATATACTTTATGTTTTATTGCAAAATATATTTCATTCGCCATTTATTTCATTATAATCAGTCACCCGCATCAATACAAATCGTAAAACTTCATAACTTTACATTTGTCAATTTTCACTCTACCATCTAAATGTTGCTATTTTTTTTTCATATAAAGAAATATAGATCTAATAAATAATAACGAATATCGAACTATATAGATAAACTGTTATATATTGAATAAATAAAACTTCGATACACACCGGTCCGCCGCCAGACGTACGACTGCCTCGCGTTTCGCGTCGCCGCCTCATTAATATTCATGACATGACGTCATAACCGGGCAAACAAAAAGCTGCGGTGCCTGGGCGATGCGAAAAATGTATAGGCCTATATAGAGGTAGAATTCGATCCCCGTGCCCAATTTTTACGAGCAAACCGTTGCTCGTAAAAGTCGGCCGTTTGGCCAAGATGTATGGGAGAGCATATCTGTCGTAAGTCTTCTTTTCTTAAGATTTATGTTGCGAGATAATAAAAAAGAGCGGGAAAGCAGATAAGGGCCTAGTCACACGATTGAATTTTCAATACAAAAGGAGTCTAGTACACTCCCTTATGCTATAAAAGCTTATTTAAGTGTCATAACTAACTGATGTCCTTTTATATATTATACTTTCTTACGTAAGACATTCAATTGTGTAATTTAGAGCAAGTTCAACGCTTAAATATTTCTTACGTTATCTAAGAGTACATAAAGATTTTCTTCGTAGACTATAGTAAATTGTAAAAAGTAGGGATTGAAGGGGTTTTTGTTAGTTTACCTTTATACCCTCATAATATAATAGATGTCTTCTAAAGTGCTAAAGAATAGTGAACTATTTTCAAAACGAATTCAATTGAATTAACTCTTCAACAACTCTTACTAAAAAAAATTTAAATCATTTATACAAGTGATAAGTATTTTTTAAAGCATAATTGCCAACTTGGACAATTGACAGATTATTCCTTATCACTATCTCTTTCAACAGAAAAACAGAAAAATAACAGGATGAAGCATCGGTTAAAAACAATTCTACTCTGTAATAGGGAAGTGGCTGTTGGAGAGATTAATTAAATTTCTAGATGTAAAAGAAGGTCAAGAGCTCTCTTAACGTCTGTGCCACAAAGAGTGATATATTTTCATATGATGCGCCAATTTAGAATGTGTGTTTTCAAAAAGAAATGTCTGGTAAATTGAAGTTATATGTTGTAAGGCTTTTTTTTAGCGCCTTAAACAGAAATTACAACGAAAATCAATAAGTAACAGAATGACTAATAATGAAAAGTATTTTCATATTAGATATATTCCGTTTTTTTTACAAGAATAATATTAATTTTTTATTTACCATTAGAACGTCTCCTCCCCCAAGAATAAGTGGAATGGCTTCTGCTTGAACATCCGTTGGCAAGCTATGAAAAGAGTAAGGTATTAGTGGAGCAAGCAAATATGTAATGACAGACAAAAGATTCTCATAACCAGTCGATAAACAGTTAGCTAATACTACAGCCGGTAAATTCAGACTAAACAATGATGAATATTCACTTCGATCTTTAGACGAAGTATTGTTTTTCAAGGGCCGCTTAAGTTTTTATTAGATGCTTCGTATTCTTCATTTTAAACATTTCAGTTTTTAGAGTATAGTTTTTTTTCAATACCTCTGCTTTATTAATTTGTATATATATATATAAATAGAAAGAAAGAAAAAAAAACACTGTAAATATGACTAAGTTTTTTCTATTTTGACTGGCAGTGTGTGACATACTTTGTTTTATACACCATAATTATGGGTGTTTTTTATCGCAATATAATATAATTTTCTCTATTTAGAAGATAATCCAATGTAAATTAACTCTATCTAATTATTATAAACAAAAGAAATCTTTATTTTCGTTCATTGTCTTCAAAAAACTAATACTTTACTTTGAATGTTATTTTTTGTTTAAAAATTGTTGATGTATTCAACATTAATTGTTTATTTACAGACTAATGTAACAAAATACAGTAAGCAAAAGTAAATAAACTTTGATAGCATTTCCAGAGTAATGGAATATATGTTCAAGTACAACAGCTTAATATAATTGAAGTAATTTGAGAGATAAGTAATTTAACTGTTTAGCACATCGTTTTTTTGAACACGATATTTTTAAAATTAAGCATAAAAAACGTTCAAATAATTTATAGCAAGCCGAGAGTGCAGTCGAGCGCAAAAAGGTTAAATTACAGGAAAAGAATTGACACCTGTTTAATGCTTTCTTACCGGTAATAAGCTAGTTATCAAATACCTAAAGTAAGAACTTAATCTTTAAGAATTAAATAAAATGTTTGAATACTAACATGCTTATAAATAAATAAATAAATAAATATACTGTATATGTATTAAAAATAAAATATTTACTATCTGAAAAAATTAAATCATGTTGAATTTTTTCTAACACGCCAACAAAGAGCCAAGTTTTCATTTCTAACGATTAAGTAATATACCTGTATAGCTTAGAGATTATCGAGTGCGAAAATAGAATTGTATTCAAGGAGAAAGAAATAACATATTTGTAAGTTATCGGCCTTAAAGTTATATGAAACTACAAAAACATTTTTTCTTTGCGAGATCAAATTACGATGAAACTGCTACGGAATATATACAAAACAGAAGGAAATATTAGTCAAATACACCGGCCGTTGTCCGTGCAATCGGCTCCATATGTCTTTAATGGCAGGTGCTTCGTTTATAGGTCACATGTACAGTCTCTTGTTTTCTGGTAAATTTGGATCTTTTTTTTAAATTGACAGATCAAGTTAATCCAGTAATGTCGTTAAGGTAATCTAGAATGTCTATTTCAGTTTGATTTACGTGAGTGGTATTTCGCAAAAGATATATTTCATTGATATTATAAATTAGCTGACTCGGCTCTATGATTAATGGTCGACAACTAGATAGGTTTATTATATTATTAAACATACTTCTAATTAAGATTTGGAATTGTTTAGTAGTAAACAAAGCCCACAGGATTCTTGCCTATAAATATAAAAGATAAATTAAATAAAACAACTTGTCATAATTCGATGGTAAGTATAGTTTACAAGTGGGAAAAAAATTTAGTCTAATTTCGTGTGAACAGGCAGATTTAGCAATGTCCATTGTGCTAATTAACATGTCTATTAATTTGGCAACATGCAAAGATTTGGGTTAAAGAGTATCATCTCTCTCATTTAACTGACTACCTCTGCTATCGTGTAGAGAAGTCGAAATTTTTCACGGTCACTTTGAACAAAGTAAGAATTGTAGCTGCAGAGGGAATCCTTATTTACATACAATTCTTTAATAGATGGAAATATTGTATTAACTAATACTATGAAATTGTCAGGGGTGAAAACTTGATGATGATATATTTATAAAATGGTCATGGACCTTAATTTATGTAAAAGGAAAGGAACATTTCCATTATTTAGAGAGAGGCTATTTTGCTAATAAAAAATGTTATGGTAAACAAAAGAATAGCTTCTTTAATGTTTTCATTTATGCAATTTAG